ACATATGGGAAGTGGGAGAAGTGACTGGAAGTGGGGCAAGAGCTGAGCAAGCCTCTAGCAGCCAGACAGTGGCATAGTCCCCTCTCCAACCCCTCCCCCACATACAGCATCACAACGTGGTGAAACCGGCTGCCCACCCTTGCAAATACCTAAGGCTCTGCCCCTTGCACTGTAATGGGTGCGCCAAGACAGGGGGTCAAAGCAGCTCTACCTAATACACAGAAACAAACAGAGGGAGGTTACCAAATTGAGGAGACAAAGAAATATGGCCCAAACAAAATAACAGAACAAAACTCCAGAGAAAGAACTAAGTGAAATGGAGATAGCCAACTTATCAGATGTAGAGTTCAAAACACTGGTGATAAGCATGCTTAGAGAACTCACTGAGTATGGCAAATCCATAAGGGAAGAAATGAAGGCTACACTAAGTGACATAAAGAAAAAAATTGCAGGGAACTGACAGTGAAGGAAAAGAAGCTGGGGTTCAAATCAACAATTTGGAACATAAGGAAGAAATAAACAGTCAACAAATACAGGATGAAGAAACAAGAATTCAAAAAAAACAAAAACAAAGAGAAAATAAGAAGAGTCTGGGTCATCTCCAAACATGCCAACATCTGAATCATAGAGATGCCAGGAGAAGAAGAGAAAGAAGAAGAAACTGAGAACTTATTTGAAAAAATAAAGAAAGAAAACTTCTCTAATTTGGTGACGGAAATAGACATACAAGTCGAGGAAGCGCAGAGAATCCCAAACAATTCCGACCCAAAGAGTACCACGCCAATACACATCATAATAAAAATACCAAAGGTTAAAGATAAAGATGAATCTTAAGAACATCAAGAGAAAAGAAGAGAGTTACCTACAAAAGAATGCCCATAAGACTATCAGCTGATTTCTTAAAAGAAACTTTGGAGGCAAGAAGTATTCAAAGTGATAAAAAGCAAGGACGTACAACCAAAATAACTCTATCCAGCAAAGCTATCATTTAGAATGGAAGGGCAGATAAAGTGCTTCCCAGACAAGGTGAAGCTAAAGGAGTTCATTATCACCAAGCCCTTATTACATGAAATGTTAAAGGGACTTATTTAAGAAAAAGAAGATCAAAGCTATGAACAGTAAAATGACTACAAACTCACAACTATCAACAATCTAAATCTGGAAAAACAAAACAATCTGAATCTAAAAATAAAAAAAAACAACAACCAAAGTCAACAACTAGAACAAGAACAGAATCATAGATATGGAGATCACATGGAGGGTTATCATCAGGGACGGGAAAGGGGGAGAATGGGGAAAAAGTACAGAGATTAAGAAGCCTAATTAGTAGGTACAAATTGACAGGGGAATGTTAAGAATAGTATAGGAAATGGAGAAGCCAAAGAACTTATATGCATAACTCATGGGCATGAACTAAGCGGGGATTGTTGTAGGGAAGGGGGCTATCAGTCAGAGGGGAACAAAGGGGAAAAAACTGGAACAACTATAATAGCATAATCGATAAAATATATTTAAAAAATAAAATAAAACTCCTGGCACATGAAATGCCCAAAAAATTTTGGGTATTTTTATCCCCATTTTATAGATAAAAACTGAGCCTCTGAGAGATTAACTGTTGATCAAGCAGATGTTCAAACCCACATCATATGATGACAGCTGCAAAACTCTTCCCTACCCCACCTAACAATCCTCTCCTACTGCCACCTACTTTTCTGGATTGTAAATAACTTCCTTTTTCTCCATTTGTCATTTAGCCTTCCTATATTTTTGTTTTTTTAAGATTTTATTTGTTTAGTTTTAGAGACAGGAGAAGGAAGGGAGAAGAAGAGGGAGAGAAACATCAAGTGTGGTTGCCTCTCACATGTTCCCTATGGGGGACCTGGCCTGCAGCCCAAGTATGTATACTGACTGGGAATTGAACCAGTGACCCTTTGGTTCACAAGCCGGTACTCAATCCACTGAGCCACACCAGCCAGGGCCCTCCTGTCTTTTTAAGTATAAAACTCACAGTCACATGTTATGGCTTAATAAATATTAATAAATATCATATTAGCAATGTGCTGAAAAAGATTTAAAAGGTGAAACAAAATCAATTCATTTTCTCATTCTCTCATTTCTTGCTCTCCTTAAATAATGGCCCAATTCCACCCATCTACCCACACATGTTTAAAAGAATATTTATAGCTTTTAAAAGTCTTTCCCAGCACCCTTTTTCTCTCCTGCTGGGCACTCTTAATCTCACTCCAATAGCAGCTCTAAATTTTCATATTGAAATATTATCTCTTGTTAAGGTCTTGTGGTGTTTATGCCAGAGAGAAAGAGGGCAGTTGGCAGATAGTCATATAGAAGGTTGCTTCAGTTCTTGCAGAGATTTCCTTTCCTCTGGATTTTATACATGAGGATTATTGACCCTCCTACCCCCACTTTAATGTCAGTCTCTCATATTGGATATGGATAAAGCTGAAAGTGAAAACTCAGAACAGTGAAACTGCTACCATCAAAGACACAATTTAAAAGGCTCCAATGCCAAACGACTTCAGTTGCATTTTGAGATAAGGCAGCAGTGCATGGTGACCAGTCACTTCTAAAGCCATTTTTGCCTAGGGGCAATTTTTCCTCTCTCTTATTGTTTATTAATGTTCATTCCTAGAGGGATAACAACACTAGAAACTTAACATACATACTTCTTCCTAAGCCTATAAAGTACAAAAGGATCTAGTTAAAAATTAAACCACAAACACCAATAAACACATTTTAAAGGGTTTTTTTTTTTTTTTTTTGCCTCCTATAGTCTAAAATGAATGTATTAAAATAAAAGCCAGAAAAGACAGCATTTATTGCACACTTTGTGCCAGGCACAGTCTTAAGAGCTTCAAACTTCACAATAATCTTTTGAGTAATTTTACTACATTCCCTTAAAAGATGAGAAAACTGACTTTTCAGGAGGCTGAGGAACTAGCTCAAAGTTACACAGTTGCTAAACCAGTAATTTAAATCCAGGCAGTTGAACTATATAGGTCCAAGAACTTAACTTTTATTCTATGGTATTTCCCCAAATGCCCAGATGTTGTCTGTCTGTGAGAACTTCAATATAAATCTATAGCCTCTTTTAATTTGCAAAAAAGAAAAACTTCCATTCAAAGCAGCTTAAGTGAAAGGGGATGATTTAATGGTTCCTATCAGCAACTTACAGAATGGCCTGACATCAGGAACAGCTGGATCCAGGGACTTGAACACTATCAGGAGTCTCTCTGTGTGTGTTCCTTGCTGAATGTCAGACTCTTCCTAACCAGCTATGGGAGTCCACATGGTGGGTCATTTGGGGAAGCTCCAGTTTCACATCCTAACATGAGCCCAGAGAAGAAAATATCCATCCCTCATAGCTCAGGTGAGAAAATTCACGTGAAAGTCTCTGACTGACCCAATTTAGATTTTGTAGCCATCCTTGGGTCAATCCCAGTGGCAAGGGAAATAGAGAACTATGATTTACCCTGTCTGGGTCACATGCCTACCCCTGTGGCCTAGAGGGCTGGGTCTGTATCAGAAGAGAGCAGAAACGTGGCAGACAGAAGAAATGAAATAGTTGTTAAAGTACCTCTTTAGAATTTACAAAGTGCTCTCATATGATTCATGCATTTTGAGTCTCACAACTACCCTATGAAGGGGGCAGGGTTTTTTAGTAATACTAAAAAAAAAAAAAAAAAAATGTGGGCTACAATTCTATTCATCTGTTTACTGCACATCACTGGACGCTCCACAGGCATGTGAATTCAGTGTGTCCAGGGCTGAACTCATCACCTTGCCACTTCACTGACTCCCACTTCTGCTTTCTTCCGTGGTTGGTGGCACCATCATCAACATTGCTCCCTAAGATAGTAACCTGCGGGGTTTACTTCACTCTCATTTCCCTCAGCCTCACATGCAATTGTTTCTTACTACTGTTAATTTTGCCCCCTAAATATTTCTGCAATTTATTCCTTTGTCTAAATATCCCATAAACAGCACAAAATAAAAAAAATATTCAAAGCTTAGCTAATTATGTCCTCCCTCAAACCTGCTCTTCTTCCCGTGTTTTAGTAGGAGGTTATCCCCATCTACTTAGTTGCCAAATATGGAATTGGGCATCAAGGTTGATTTCTCCTTCTCCTTTGACCTCTCATGATTATGTGACTACCAGATCCTAATGTTTGGCATCCTCTTTGTGTCCTAAACCTACCCACTCTTCTCCATTCTCTGTGTGATCATTTTTCGCCTCCTGTAGGCGTATACTAATTGGTGTCTCTGCCTTGAGTCTTCACTCCCTCTAATCTTTTCTGCAGGAGGAAACCAGATCTGATCACGTCAGCAACTCTCCTCTCCTTCACTCCCCATTTTCTAATCCTCTAATTCCTGGTATGTTTAACTAGTCTACAAAATCAAGGATAAGGGCCATATGAACCCGTGTCTCCCCTTCACTGTACTTGACACAAAATAGATGCTCAATAATTATGAAAAGTGCACTCCCCCCCTTTCTGATTATAGTTTATTTACAGCAGATAAGTCCTGGACATATTGTAGGTGTGTCGGACCTCTGGAGACACAGCGTTTCGTAGGAGATACGTTTCCCTGGTACAGGAGCCGGAGGCCTTTAAAGGAAACAATCAGAAACTAGCATCACCGTACCAAACGAATTGTGCAGTCAGCACACAAAAGGATGCAGATACTAAGGTATCTTCATGGTGGTGACTTAACCCTCATGGCTCTTGACTAATATCTTCCCCTTTCTGGACCTCTATCTCGTGACCTGTGAAACCCGCACGATGAGAGACATGAAGTAAAACTTCAGAGCCGTGGTACGAGAAATAATGGGACTCTACGTAGGGCTAGTGCTTGCGCGTGTCCGTGCGCGTGCCCGTGCGCTTGGCGCGGGCTTTCCCGGCGCGGCCGTCCCGGCGGCCCCCGGGGGAGGCAGGAGCGGGCTGATTCCCGCGGTTTGGCCCCGCCATTGGCGGGCGGTTTGAATGACGGAAGTGACGGCGACTTGGCGATGGCCGCCCCGCAGGCGCAAGAACGGCTGTTGGGAAGCCGATTGGCGGCGGCGGCGGCCGGGCTCTTGCCAGTCTGAGCTGCGTTTCCTGGCTCCCGATTCCCGGTTCTCTGGTGAGTGATGGATGCCCCGGCTTCCCGCGCTCCCCGGCGTGCACGACTCCCTGGATCCTGGGACCTGGGCGTGTGTTCGGGAGGAAGGGGACGCAGGGAAGGCGCGGCGCCGCGAACGCAGCAAGGCCTGCGCATCTCAGGCCTCGGTGTGCTGCTTTCCCTGGCTCGGCTTGGGCTTCCTCCGTAGGGAGCTCGGGGACCTGAGGCGCGGCCGACCCAGACCCGCCTGTTCGTGCGAGAGGCCGCCCGGGGGGCCTTTGCATGTGTGGCTTTAAGCTTTTCCCGGGGTCGGGTGGCGCGAGGGTCCCTGAAGTTCCACATAATGGGCAACCGGGAGCGCCTCCGCTGTTGCTACTGCTGCTACAAACATCTCCGTGCATCCTGCCCACCCTGCCCGCAAGATCACCGTGGACGTGGCCTGACATCTGGTAGCTGCTTCAAACCGCCTGAGATCTTTTCATGCAGACAACGTGCCTTTTTTTTTTTTTTTTTTTTGTGTCTGTCACTTTTACTTTGTCAGGCATTAAGTCCTGCCCTAAACTGAGTTTTATAATATTAGGGAACGTTCGGGTCTTTAATACTGGGAAAACATTTGGTCGTGTCACATTCATTAAGTCACATAATCATCAGAACAACCTGTTGGGGTAGATACTACTTCCATTGTATAGTTTAATAAAAGGAGGCCAAAGTGACTGGCCAGTGTATTTCTGCTTTAAGTTGCAGTGTTGGGTCTTGAACCCAATCTTCTAAGTCCAGTATTTTGTGATTACGGTATGTCAGGTACCGTTTAACCTGAACAAAATCTTGCAAGATAAGTAAAAGCTCTCTTACTGGATAGCAGTAATATGTAGAATTTAAAAATCTATATTCATATGAGTGAGAGAACAGGGGGAAACTCTTCCTTGCAGTAGGATGCCCCATGTACGTGTAGAAAAAATAATAGAAACAGAAAATACCTTTGATAAATGGCACAGTAATTGTTTCAGACCATGAGCAACATGATATTTATATAGCCTCAACGATCTCTCCACCGGATACTTACAAAGGAAAAGTAGGAGAAACCTGGTAGGTAGATACCACCTTGACCACCTGATAAAATTCACATCGCCAGTAGTAAGACAGGTCAACCTATTTACCTCCCTCTGTGATGCACTGAGAAGAATGCATTATCACGTCTATGGTGTTCTCACCAAAAATGCAGAACCTGGTCCTAACCACAGGAGAAGCTTAAACAAATCCCAATTGAGGGAATTCGACAAAAATAACTGGCCAGTATTCTTCAAAAATGTCAAGATCTTGAAAAGAAAGACAGGCTGAGGAACTGTCCTAGATTAGAGGAGTTGAAGGAGACATGGAGACTTGCAGCCATGAGACTGAAGCGCCTGCATTCTGGAGTCCTTTGCATGGCCATTTCCCTCCTGGCTTCCCCCAGGGAGCAGCGGCCAGTGACTGAGCATGGCAGGCCTGTTCCAGAGGAACAAGGGGCTGTAGCTCAAGGACTCCGCAGAGGTGTTACTGAATCTTCTTTAGACGGCATGGCCATTTATTTAGGAGGCATCTACCCAAGTTACCTTCCTTCTTCCCTCAGGGTCAGGTTTGCATGGAAGTCTGAAGTGTTCTCAGCTTTTACCTGCTCTCTTCCCTTTTTTTTTCTGATACAGACATTTCCTGTAATAAAATCTCTGGGTTTAATCCCCAGGTTGGTATCTGCAGAGTACCACAACAATCAAATGCAGTATATTGCAATATTTCCCTTGGATTGGGTCCTAGCTCAGAAAATTAATAGGATAATTGGTGAAATTTGAAGGTTTTTAACTTATTCTGTAAATTTGTTAAAAGTATTGTGCCAGTGTTAATTTCCTGCTTTTGATTATTGTACTGTGGTGTTACTAAGATGTTAAAATTTAGAGAAGCTGGGGAAAATATATGGGAATTCTAATTATTTCCAAATATGTTACAATTCTTTTTAACGTTATATACAAGAGAAAATGGTTAGTCTCTCACATCTAGGTAAAAATAACAAATGTGTGCTTGTTTTCCTGTAATCCTCTAGCAAATGAAATGGTGAATATTCAACATTTTTGAAAATGGTAGGAATGGAAATGAGGAGGCATCAGAAGGACCTGCGGAAGTTTTTCAAATTACAGAAATTTACAGATTCTTACTTTCTTTCCATTTCTCTCCAGAAGCTTCCCCCAGATAAGGGGCATGTTAATCTAGGGAGCAAAATGAGAACACCCAAGTATTAACAGTACCATGAGAAAAATAGAACTGGAAATCTAAACATTCAACTCCAAACAGAATTGTTCCAAGAGAGAATTTTTAAAGTGATTATATATTGCTATGGCGGGGTGGCTCAGTTGGTTGAAGAGTTGTCACGTACACCAGAAGATTAAGGTTTCGATTCTGGGTCAGGGCACATACCTAGGTTGTGGGTTCAATTTCTGGTAAGGGTGTTTATGGGAGACAAACTGGTCCATGTTTCTCTCTGACAGCAATGTTTCTCACCCCCCCCCTCCTCTGTCTTAAATCAATAAAAGTATATCCACAGGTGAGGATTAAGAACAATAATAACAACATTTAAAAAAAGTAATTATTTAAAAATCACACCATTGTAATTTGTAGAAGAATTGTTTGTTGTTCAGGGGTTGATGTGATTTCATACCATACAATGACTTTTGGTGATCAGGTTGGGAAAACAGATTGGAAGTTGAATCTAGGGACAAAGAGTCCTTGCAGTTACAGCAGTCATGCTAGTTATGAGCAGGTTATTAAATTGTTAAATTGTAATTGTGAAAACATTTATTCTGTGCTAATACATTTTTTTATATTTAAGCTAAGTAAACTGGAAATCCCAATCAGTAGTAAGTCAGGTCCCAGATGCTCTAGGGCAAACAATAACCTGTTATCAATGGGGAAAATTTTTTGCAAGTAATTCTGATTATCCTCCACTTAATCCCTTCCCATGTATCTGAGAACCCACTGATTTGAGTGCTGAATTAATAATTGATATATGTGAATAAGTTGGACTTTGTTTACCCAAATTATCTTATTTGCATGTACGCAGCCCCTTAACTGTCAAATATATTAATATATATTTAAAAAATTACTTTGCTGTCCTTTAATAGACATTTTTCTTTTTAAAAAAAATTCAGAACCTTTATATTTAAAGAACACAGAAATGAAAAGAAAGGTAGTGAATGCTGGCAAGATGAGATTGAGTCCTAATGAGGAAGCCTTCATTTTAAAAGAAGATTTTGAGAGAAGACGAAAACTAAGATTGCTACAGGTAAGATTTATTTGTAAACAAGTTTCAAATTCTTTGTCTTCACCACATTATTAATTTTTTTAAATATTACAGTATTCTAAATAAAATGCTACATTTAAAAACCTTGCCTGGCTCTCTATAAGAGCTGGTTTTTGCATACTAACTAGTTTTGGAACATTTGAAAAATAGACCAAAATGGTAAATAGATTGAAGAAGAGTAGATTTGACAAGGATAGGGGTGATTTGACTCAATAATTATTGGAAGATAGTTCTTTAAATATTTTTAAAATAATGTGTAACTGATGAAAATTAGAGCAGGAAGATTAGAATGACTTTGAAGAAGACATACTGGAAAGATTATTAACTGCTGAAACAAATTTATTAAGACACTGTAGATTTTTCTTTTCTAGAAGTCTTTAGAGTAAGTTAAGTCTTTGTGAAGCATATTTTAGGTGCCATTCTGTCCCGAATTGGGGATGATATACTACAGATACAGAGTTCTCATCCTGGTCTATTTGTATTCATCTAGGCTGTGAATTTTGCTGAATAATGCTTAACCATTTTAGCCTCTTCAGTCTGGTTATTAGAATGATAATCACAGAACCATTATTGGGGCTTGGGGGGTATAATAGCTACTCATTTAGGAAACTTTAGAAGTTTTTTCTCTGTCATTTGGATTTTTTTTGTTTGTTTTACATGGAGCTTCACTAATAAAATGTGATTATTAGGAGAATTGATAGGCCTCAAGAGAGTTCATTTAAATTTCTGTTTCCAAATAGCTTTTCAAAAAAGTTTTACTACTTTCCTCATATAATCTATTAAATATTCATTCCTCAGGTTCGAGAACAAGAAAGAGATATCGCTTTACAGATAAGGGAAGATATAAAACAGAGGAGAAATCAGCAATTTACGCGTTTGGCAGAGGCACTAAGGGCAGAATGGGAAGAATCACAAACTCAGAAAATAAACAACCTGGAAAAATTGTATTTGGCTAGTTTAAGAAATATGGGAGAGGGACACCAACAAGCCAAAGAAAATGTAAGTGAACACTTATTCGACTGCATGTCTGTGGTAGTAATTTTGGTTAAAAATAAACTGTAGTTGTTAAATGCTTGTCTGAGAAAAATGTTTTCATATATAGAATTTGTTTTGAACAGCCTGAACTTTTTAAACATAATGTAATTTAAGAATGAAGTATCATTATTCTTCATGAGTATCATTATTCTTTTTCAATCTTTAACTGTTTGGGTAAATAAAGTAGTAACCATCTTAGTCAGAAGTTGCTATTTCGAGCAGATTCAGTGGGGTGAATTTAAGTTTCCCATTTTGTTATCATTCCTCATACCTCTAAAACATATGAGGTATTCCCAGAAGGTATACAGCCATGTAATATGAAAAATAGAGACATTTGGTGAAGAAGATACAAGATACAAGGAAAATTGTATATAGGACAGTCATGCCTCAGTCCCCTGAAAGTAGGCACCTTAGGACCTCACATAGTTCTCCCAATAACCATCAGCTGCCTTGTTGTATTTTCCTGGATCTCATTGATGGTCTGAAATCTCTTCCCTTTCAAAGGTGATTTTACTTTTGGGAAAAGCCAGAGGTTGCAGAGCACCAAATCCAGGCTCTAGGGGGGCTGAGTCCCTGGGTAATTTGGTGTTTCACCAAAAAACTCTGCAGGAGACGTGATGCATTAGCCGCCTTGTTGTGATGAAGCTGCCAATCACCGCTTGCCCATAGGGGCAGCCTTCCGCATCATCTGAATAGTTTCCAAGGAGGAATGTTCAAGCTTAATGCAAAATTTGATGCAGATTCATTGCTCTACTTGCTTGGTCATTTTGAATGTGATGCACACAGTACACATGCTCACTCAATGACATCTGCTGCCTCCACTGACTAGTACAGTGATGTCATCATTGTTCACACATGCACATACTAATCCACTCTCCTTGGCTGCCAGGTTACATCGATGTCATGCAGACCATTCTCATTATATTAACAATAGCTGGACTTTTTCTGACAGACTTTCTCATACATAGCTGAATGTAGATATACACATAGTAAAAATTCTTTGATGACTTTCAGCGAGGCAAAGTAGAACTTAACTCAGTATGTAAGACTGCTCTCTGAGCCTTATTTTGTTTATTGTGATTTATGGTTGGAAAATACAGGCATACCTTGGAGATATCGCAGGTTTGGTTCCAGACCACTGCAGTAGAGTGAGTCAGTGTGAATTGTTTGGTTTCCCGGTACATATAAATATTATGTTTATATTGTAGCCTAAGAAGCATATGATTGCTTTCTGTCTAATAAACAATGTGTATACCTTAACTAGAAAACACTTTAATGTTAAAATATGCTGGTCATCATCTGAGCCTGTTGGAAAAATGGTGCCAATAGATTTGTAACCACAAATCAGGGTTGCCACAAACCTTTAATTTGTAAAAAGTACACTTTCAAGTGCAATAACATGATGTGCGATGAAACAATGTATGACTGCTCTAGAGTACAGTCCCAGATAGTCACACAAAGTAAACAAGCTGGTTTCAAAGAAGACAAGTCTTTGATACCAGACCACTAGTGAGAAAAGGAAATATCTTTAAAGAATGTGACAATCAAATATGTTCCTCAGTCCCTGGTTTTAGTCTGTGTTTTTAGTAATGACCTCAAGTTCGGACATCAGATTTTTGTAGCTTCATTTGTGCTGCCATTAACTTTGTGCTTTAGTGCAGTGTTTCCTAAACTTGAGTCATTTGCATACCACATTAATAATTTTTGCCCTGACAGGGGTAGCAACCAAGGGCTGTACTGTGTAATATTACCTTTTAATCTCGTTTAACATGACTTAACATCTTACATATATTTTTAGGAACCTGATTTGAATGCTCTGGCACAGAGGGCAGCTGAAAGAAAAAGAAAAGCAGAAGTGAGGCATAAAGAGGCCTTAAAAATACAGAAAAATCAAAAAGAAATGTTAATGAAACAAAAAACCTGGTAAAGTAATAATTTTTACGGTATTCTCCACTGAAACTGATATAGTTAGAAGCAGAGGCTGTGCTGGGTATTGTTTCAGCAGTTAATAAAAGTTACAGTGTATTCATTGTGTTTGTTAACTTAGTTTAAAAATGATGCAGTAGGGGGTTGGTTTGCTTAGGTGAACATAGTAACAAATGAACTTCCTCTTCTAGCCTGACTTTAGCAACATTTACTACATTTATGTAGAAATGCATGGCAGTTCAGAATGTATGTCAACCAAAATCTGCCTCTGATGTAAAAAATAAATAAATAAATAAAATCAGTGTGATTAAGAACATTAGAAGAGGTTGTAGACTCTTTGGAAGTCATTAATGAGTATTTTTGCATAATGTTAAAAACGAAAGAGCCTGTTAATAGTAGCAGTCATTTTATACTGTGGCTAATTTTTATCAGTATTTCTTGTGGTTTTGTATTTTTACTTTAAAAACTACCCTAAACTAAGGAACTTGAGATGTTTGTTGGATTTGTCCCCACTATAGAGATTTATGTCTTTAGATACATGTCTTTGACTTGGTAAACGTTTTCTTACATGTCTCCTTTGTATAGAGTGTTTATTAAACAATAAACTGAGCCTGTGGGATCAGATTGGAGGGTTTTTTGAGATCCTATGAGTTTTATATTTTTAACCTAAAGGGTTGTACTGTAATATTATCTGAAAAAGTAATTTATGACATCTTTTTTTTAAGGCACATAAAAGCTCGAAAGGAAGCTCTGCTTGTGGAAAAAGAGAGATCTGCCAAAATTACAAGTCTGCCACCTCCTCCTCCAACTCTTTTTGAGGTGAATTACTTTGAGTGTTAAGAAGAACTAGGGTATAGTAATAATTCTTTACTATTAGAATTCAGTACAGGTCAAAATATCACTTACTTTAACTTAATTTTAATTGTACAAGTAACACATGAGTATATCTGGAGTATTTAAAAATAATACTAGTTATCACTTTACCCATAAATACTGAAGCATAATCTCTGATGTATAAAGACTTTTTTTTTTAGCACAATATTAATATTCCCAATATCTTCTAAAACAGTTTTTGTTCAGTTTTCCTCAGTTGTGTCAATATATTTTTATAGTTTGAAAACCTGTAATCTTTCTGGTTTTTTAAAAAAACTGAATAGTTTGGCTGTTTTTAAAAAAATACCCTTTTTAAAAAAATAAAAGCAACTGGATTATTTGCTCTGTAGACTTCCACATTCAGGATTTAGCCATTGTAAACAGTTACCATGTAATAAGATAAAGAAATTAGGTTAGTATAAGTTAATAAATTTACACAAGATTACGTAAAATGATGAGAGAGTTCTCTATGGGAGTAAAATGTGTGCTTTTGTGATTTGGAGCTTATTTTTGAAAAAACATTTAATTTATTAAGTGAAGTAGAAATTAATTTTAATAGGTATTGATTGATTCTCTTGTTCACATCAGCTTTTTGTGGTTATTGAGATGGCTCTTTGGATCTAAAGAGATAAGTAGAAAAGACAAGACCTATACAAATACAGGGATGTCTAATTTAGTTGTGTATTCAGGTATAGTTTATGTATGTGTGATCATCATAAGTATCTGATATTTGCCTCTTAAGCCTTTCATGTTGTGAGCCTTCCTGCTTTTATGTTGAGCCATCTGCCATGCAACATTTGATCCAGCCAAGCAAGATTCAAATGGAAGAGTCAGATTTCAGTCACTCCCTCGGTCCTGTGTAAAAGGCAGGCAGTATTTTATCCACGATGCCTTGATTTACCTTTGTCATTATTTCTAATGTTCCCAAACAAACCAAAATTAAAAGTTTACAAAAAGCCAGAAAAACTCTCTGCATGATTTGGGAAATGTGAATTATATGTTGGATGTGTACTATCCCCTGCTCCCAACTTTTTATTATGAAAATTTTCAAAATGCAGAGAAATTAGAAGAGTACAGTGAATAGCTATTTGCATTGTGTAGATTTCAAATGGTGCGTATTTATGTATACATTTGAATGTAAATTATAAAGATGATATTTCACCCTAAATACTTCTTCATGCTTCTTGTAAGAGTAAGGATGTTCTCTTATGAAGCCACAATAACACCTTAAAAATATTAACATTAGTTTCTTAAATCCATCTAATATTTAGTCTACTATCAAAATTCTCCAATTGCCCCTAAATTATCTTATCTTACAGCTTTTTTTTTTTTAAATACAAGGATCTAAGTCAAGATTCACTTACTGCTTCTGCTTGTTTTGTCTTTTTGGTCTCTTAGTGTAGGACATCATCTCCCCCAACCCTAGCCAAGTCTTTTATTTCAGACTCTTTGAAGGGATAGTTTGAAGAGACTAGAGCTTCTCGTATTCTGTATTTGTCTGGTTTGGTTGCAGTGGTGACTACAAGACATAGTCATCATAAAGGTATTTTTCTCTCTTCAATTACTAAGTAATCTGGAACATACTGTGGCACCAGAAAGGTCTCTATCATCCTTCTACATTTATTCATTGGACTACTTCTGTTTGAAAAAAGAAAAGAGGACTTTCTCCTGTCAGTGAGCATGAGCCAGCATACCAAATGATCAAACTTGGAATCAGTAATAGTGGAGCAACTTACCATGTGCCTCCTGATGTGATATATTAAACTACACAGCATCTAGATTTTAAACCTAAATTCCAGTTTAATGAAAAGTCAGCACATGATCCCATGTGAAAGTAGGAATAAAGATAATTGATGAAAACAGAATTGTTTTTTTTTGTATTGGATCCAGCTTTAAATGAAAATTAATGCTGTTAATCTAACAATCTATTTTCTATGTTCTATTTTTCAGAACATTGAAATAAAGAGAATTTCTAATGTGAAAACTAGTAGTTCTACCTACCATCATCTTTCCACTTTTGTGAATAGAGAGATAGACACAAAACAGGTGATTGACTTAATATTTGTTCATGACCCTCACTTTATTATTTCTCTGTTCATTGAATTGAGTTACATCTTGGTTCTTTGTATGTTGTTCCCAGATGTCAAAATTTGAACAACTCTACTAACCATCATTGAGTAATAATGATTTTGAAATCTTTCAGAAATGCTTTCAATCACATGTTGTTTAATGTGAATGAAGTTTGATAAGAATGAAAGGAGTTGGCTGTTTAGAAGGTTGTATTTTAAAATAGCATATTATAAAACTTTTATCAAAAAAATAATACATGCTCTGTGAAAATTTTGGAATTATACACACAAGCTTGAACTGTAAGAAAAATACCTCTGAGTCTATCATCAAAAGGAAATGTGGTTAATTACATTAAAGAATTCATTATAGTCTCTATATAAATATATATACACACTTTTCAAAACATATTTAGCAAGTACTTAATATTACATCAAAGAATTTACTTAACCATTTTTCAATCTTTTCTTCTGTAAATGATGCAAATATAATGTACATTTTTTTCTACAAACCCGATTGTGTTTAGAACAGGTTCCTAGAATAGAAATCACTGGTTCCAGACTATAACATTAGCTATAGATACTTAATATAGGTCATTAAATTGCCTCTAAAAAGCGTGAGCAATTTGTGAGAATAGCCATCTTACTACACCCTTGTCTATATGGAATATTATGGTTTAAAATTTTTTTTGCCAGTCTTAAGAATGACACGTGCTCTCTTGTTACTATAATTATTTCTTTGTAACAGTAGGTTTTACTTTTTTTCATGTCAGATATATTGGGCTACTAGGAAAATAAGTTTTTTCAATATAGCATTCATATGGAGTTTGGAATGCAACAAATAAACATTTTGGTTGACTGCTTAATAGCAGGTGTTAAAATCAATATTCGGTCAAGACCTAAAATGAGCAGCAGCATCATCATAGAATTAACTTATAAGAAATAAGAATAAATCCTGGGATTTTAAAATTATAAATGTTGTCACAACCTCAATATTATTATACTACAGGAGCAATAACCAGTCTGTTGCTAACTTGCTCTTGTGGTTACTGCATTTTTGCAGTTTTATGTAGATTTATCTCTCACTCAATAGATTTACCTCAATTAAGATTGATAAAGACCTTTTTTTTTGTTCTAGCTTTAGTGTAGGATACAGCTGATGGTGTTAGAGTAAATTACTAAACTTTTCCCCTGATAGTAACTAAAAGACATACCTCCTCTTCACTTTCCAGACTTGAAGACTGGATCAGTAGTTATAATGCAGTTTTATAGAAGCAGTACCACAAATTAATGCATTCTAATATTCTCTTTTATTTGCTTCTTCACACCACCACCTAGGAAAACTCTACCCTTAAACCTTGGGTTTAAAATGTGACAGTGGAACAATGTGCTTAGTTTTCATGATAAGAAAATTACGTCTGTGTTTATATCTGCATCTGACCTTATATCACATGCACAATAATTTAGCATCTTTCCTGGAATAGAAAGATAGGATCTTTGCAGCAGGTAGCCTGTAAAAAATACTTGCACTCTTTGCATATATTTTTGGTTATTTCTTAATTAGCTTTTTGCAAATAAACTAGTTTCATTTGTTCAATCAGCTTTTTTAACATTGTAAGAGCTGGTATTATAGATTTGAATATCCTGTTAACTAACTTCTAAGATCTCTTGTATGCCACTAAATTTGTCTTTGGCTGAAGAATGATGAAAGTGACCTGCTATATTCCTGCTAGAGCCAGTAATTCTCTGTGTTTTGCTATATTTACTTTTTATACACACAACTAAACAAAACGTCATATACTTGAAATTCCTAAATTACTCATGGTCTTCATCATGCTTGTTTATCCTTTGTCAATGACAGTTACCTAGTTTAAAAATGAATTTTTTATTCTAGAAATATTTTTCCAATCAGAGCCATTATATTGGTTGCTGTGAGACCCAGGAATGTCTGCAGATAAGTAAAGCAGAAAAGTTAAATTCATTAATCAAAAAAATTTTGATCTAAATATCTGTACAAGATAAATAATAATATTTATTATTTTGTGCACTGCAGGTTACAATTCATGAAGAAGTTTTTTAGAAATATGTTTTCTCAAAAGACTTTTTGCTTAGGATTCACAGTTTTTACAAATTTTACATACCTTTTGAGTTAAGTTACTGAAAAGGGAATCTAACAATTATTTCAATGAGATTTTTGTTTGAATTTCTAATTGCACTGACACAAATTTGTAAAGGATTTTCTTCCTAAAGCATTCTCGTAAAATCTTGTTTTGAGTTTGGGCAGTAAGAATAAAATTCAGGGTACCTAATTTTTCTCTAACTCTTTATTTTCTTTATATCCTTCATAGTCCTCATTGTGTCTGGACTTAATAAGTTAATCATGAATGTTGTATATTTTAAAATTTTCCCTCCCTTAAAATTTTGATTTACCAGAATTGACATTCTGCTTTTAATTTACCCTTAAATGGCATGAAGAATTCCCAACTATTTTTTTTTTTTTTAACATCATGGCCTAAGTGGAATGAAATATCGTTCCTAAAGGTTGTTTAATGTTATGTATATTAATGCACTAAGTAATTTTATGGAAATTATAATTTTGGTTTAATTAAATCTTTATTGTTTTGTCTGGCATATTTAGATTTGCATAAATATTTATTGGCTTAAAACTTTAACAATTTAACAATATTTTTCATGAAGTTTGGACAGTGCACTCTTTCTTAATATATTAACATCAGTTTCTACCTATTTATTTCACTATTTGAGAGTTTTAAATAATTTTACATGCATACTTAATAGCTTTCATTGTTGTCATTAATCACTGTTTCAACTGACCAATAGAATTTTTTGGTTTTTTTCCTGACCAATAGAACTTTAGCATATATAATACATAAGATTTTTACTTAAAGTTATATTTAGACTGTTTACTTGAAAGTGAATGTTCAGATATAATCAGATTATGTGCCTCTCCCCTCTGTTATTATCACTATTGTTATGTTCATGAATATGATGACTATACAATTACATAATCATTGGTTATGCACAACTTCTAGGAAACCAGAAATTATATTAAAGTAGGTGTTTTTGGGAATTTGGCCATCTTGAAGTTGAAGCCAAGAGTGGATGTTGGCTGAAAATGAAAGACAAACCTCAGTGCTTCCCTAAATGACTTTCATGACCATTGATGTTTGTAGTTTCTTTACTACTAGCTTAGTGGGTGTTTACCTTTCAACATTAGTTGTTTCAATGGGATTTCTTTACTTAACAAAAAATGAGAAAGAAATGTGTTTGGATGAGTGTAGTTCAGTGATTTTCAACCTTTTTCATCTCAGCACATGTGAGGGGGGACCCAAAAAATGTGGAATTTATTTATAAAAAGTTGTGTATTTACTCTTACATGTGTAAACTTCAGTCACCTTCAAAGTACTCTCCATTTGATGCAACACTCCTATCGAGACTTTTTTTCCATTGCTCAAAACAGTTTTTAAACGTATTAATGCCTTTTAGTGCTTCTGCTGTTTTTTGTTTCACCTTTTCCAAATTGGTAAAACCTTTCCCTTTGAGAGAGGACATATTGGCAAAATGTTTCCCTTTGAGAGAGGACTTTTTTCATCTGGGGAAACACAGAAAAAGGCTCAGGGTGAGATTGGGTGAATGGGGAGGGTGGGGCATGGGTTATGCTGTTTTTGGTCAAAAACCGCTGAACACTCAGCACAGAGTGGGCAGGTGCACTCGTAAATCGCCTGTCACGAAGTGGGCAAATACGCTAAAAGAGTCTTCAAAAAATTCACTGAAGCTGAACACTGTCTCTCACAACAACGCCAGCTGGTACACTGATACAGTTGGGTTCCTAGAACACTCACCTAGCGAGGGAAGCCTGTACCTCAAGGGACCTGCCCTCCAGAAGATAATTCTGTTTTTTGGGAGTCCCCACTCTTATAAACTAATTACTAAAATTTTGTGGCACATCAAGAAATATATTTTTTGCCAATATGACAAAAATATAGGTACAATTTTGATTCATTCATGCCAGATGCCTATTGTTGTGTTGGCTGTTGTCATTTTTTATTTGACAGTCTTAAGGGAAAAGAGGTCAGTGCACCTGAATAAACAGTCAATTATTGCATGTTTTAAAAATTCTGGTGGCACACTAGTTGACAATCACTGGTATAGTATAATCTGGTTTGAAATGAACAACCTGTAAAACTTTAACAATTTCATCTTTTTCATACATGCTATTGATAATTGTGGGCATCTAAAAATACAACTGTTATCTAATTTTATATAAGTAGAAAAACATGACTTTAAAGGTTTGGGGTTCTTTGTTATCTCTTTGTTTTATACTTTTAAATTGCCTAAAATATTACTGATTGACTGCTAGCCAGATCCTCATTTGGCTGCTGAAGAAGAAGCTAAAAGACTGGAAGAAGTACAAAAACAAGCAGCGAAGGAGAGAATGGAACAAAGTGAAAAGGCACATGTACGGGGTTTCCAGGCAATGAAAAAGATCCATTTGGCTCAAGTAAGAATTAAATTCTGGCTGTGACCACTATTTCAATGAGATTTTTGTTTGAATTTCTAATTGCACTGACACAAATTTGTAAAGGATTTTCTTCCTAAAGCATTCTTGTAAAATCTTGTTTTGAGTTTGGGCAGTAAGAATAAAATTCAGGGCATTGCAGAACCAATAGCATTGCAGAACTTATTAGTGAATAGGCCCACAGGAGGTATGAAGAATGCAAAAAATAGAGTCTCTGAGTCATAAGACTTCAAATTTCCCAGCTTTTACCTCTTGTTTCAAATGGGTGATGCTATTTTTACTTACAGTATATTGCTGTTCTAACATCTTTACTAATGACAATTTTATTAAAAGTTAAATATTTTAATCAGTTCAAAAATAGCCTGAGGAGAAATGAATCGCTTTTCTAATTATTTGAATTGCATTTGTGTTCTCTGTGTTTTAGAATTCAATTCATTAAACATTTATTGAGCAAAGCGCATGTTGGCTTCACAGTGTTGATTCAAAGGTAGAGTCATAATCCTTGCTGTCAAGGAGCTTTGAAAATGACTGTTGCAAACCTGCAAAATACACGTAATGAAAACTGGCTTAACAGTTTTAGCTTCACTTTTGTAATGCCTATTAAATAAGGTTTATTCTTGAAACAGCATGAAAATGATTCATCTTTTTAAAAGTCTGATTTTATGTTCCAAATTTGACTCATGATTTGGATGTTTTAAATGCTCATCTGAGCAAGTTTTTAAGTGCTTCTCTGGGAATTAAATACCTGTCTTTTTAAAATTAAATTTATTGGTAAAATGCCCATCTTACTACAGTTAATTTGTATAGTTTGAACTGAATTATGACCTTCTCCATAAAATTTTAGCTTTCATAAACTGGGAATAAATTATGGCTAAAATATCTGAATGTCTGAATTATTATCAGTAACTCTCATCTAAGGCTTAAACCTATAGAAAAAAAAGTGTGGAAGCACTGTAAACCTCTCCACAAATCAGTAGTGTCTAATGGTAAAATAGGTGGACTCCATAGTCAGCCTGGATTTTTGTCCCTTCCCTCCTTAGCTGTTTGATCCTTAGGCAGGTTAGCTAACCTCTGAATTGTTTCGTCATTTGTTTTGTGAGGATTAAGTGAGTTTAATAAAGCCCCTAGAATTGTACCTCGAATTTCGTAAGTTCACAGTAAATGCCATTGGTGATGGGAGTTGTTATTATAAGTAATCAAGTAGAAAAATAAGCCAAGTTTTCAGTGAGCCAGAAGTAGTATACTTATTCAAATAACTTTGAAGTTAATTTAATGAGATAGTTGAAACTTAACATAAATGAATTTGTTCATAATTTGATTCTTTTTCAGGGCATGGCAAAAAAATTCATCTCTAAATGATAAAACATTTAAAACTTTACATGAGACTAAGTAGTATGTGTATGTTATCACTTGACTCTTTGTTATACAGGCTGTCCACCTTTTTGTAGACTTAGTGTCTCTTGTACAAAAATGCATCACAGCTGTGCAGTCTCATTACAGTTAGAGCGTTTCCTTTCCCCATCTGAAGCTTTCTACTGTAGACCATTGTGCCCTGGGTTCTTATTTCCTCCTAGTGTCTATTGTAACTAGCGTTTGGCCTCTACTTGCCTTTTTAGCTTTATATTTTTTCCTTGAATAACTTTGTCCTCTGTGTCCTAGCTATACATGAACAACGTACTTTTTCTGAATACCCTATGCCTTCATTTCCATACTTTGGTGCTGTGGTGGTTATTTCTGTATTGTATTCCATCTCCTCCTCCCCACTTTTATCTGGCTAAATCCTCATCCCAAGGAATCAGAGGTCTCTAACGCTCCCTCTGTAGCCTCCACCACCAGAATTCACAGGTACTTGAAACTCTTGCTTAACTTCCAAATTAGCCAGACTCTTTATGCTTAAAGAGATACATACAGATCCACTTGAATCATGATGATTCCTAACAGTCTGAAGTAACAAGTATTATCTGTTAGACCACTGCCATTCTGGGTCTTGGTGCTTACCTGAGACTGGTATATGTTGCTGTCTTCATGGAGAACTGGTACAGAGTACATTGCAGGACATTCTGTATAAGTTACGTGGCAACTTACATAGAACCTAACGTCATGATTTTTCTGAGAAAGGAGAACTGTAACTTTTGAAGCTTGTGGCCTAGTCAGGACCACCTGCCATCTTAGAGTACAATACTTAATAACAACACTAATTCCCTGTTTGTTGGTCTCTAGGTTAGGGGTGGGATTGTATCTCTAACATCAAAAATGGTATCTGACATTTAGTAAATATTTTTTGAATGAATAAATTACTGTCTCTTTGGGTCATACAAATGGTAGAGGAGGGACGGGAACCCCAGGCCCTGTTTCTCATGATTTCTTCACTTTTCTCTCACTGTTAATGTTACTGTCCAGTTTGTGACTCAGCTGTTGCTAATCAATTCCCTTTATTCTTGAAGAACCAAGAGAAACTAATGAAAGAACTCAAACAGCTACAACAAGAGGACCTGGCACGTCGGAGACGGACTGTCGCACAGATGCCCCCACAGCTAGTTGAACTTCCATACAAACGCAGTGAAATGAAGGAAGACTGGCAGAGAGAGCTGGAATTTGCCTTCGAAGACATGTACAATGCAGACAGGAGTAAGATATTTTCCATAAACTTTAAATGATGCTTTTAACTTTTGGTGGGAAAATACATTTGTATTGATGAAGCAGCTTTTGTTTTGAAATGAGTTGTCCACTTGAAAGAAGAGGTCATACTTTAGACTTAGAAACTATAATGGCATTTAAATGTTTATGCTCAAGTTCTTTTTAGTCATTTTGGAATAGAAACATATCTCTGTATTTCTTTATTGAGAGGTGAAAGGAAACCTGATTTTGCACATTGAACCAGAGCCTTTGCCCACTGTGACTGATCAGATCCAAGATGAAGAATTGGACCTTTCAATGGAACAAGAAAATTTAGATGAAACTGAAAACCCCCCAGTGACAGCTGCTGAAATGATATGTTCTAATGAAGCAGACGGTAAGAACTTCTTCAGAATTGAACATTACAGTGTTTCATAGAACAAAATGCTAATCGTTTGCCAACAATTAGAAAACTTTGGTCTAATTTAAGTGCAAACAGTGACTAATGCTAATAGGAACGATGAAAGGAAGAAAGAGTATTTTTACAGATTTCCATTATTAAAGATCATTTTCATATACATAGGAGGAAAGTTCTTTTATTGATATGTACATATAGTCTGAAGATTTTTTAGGCTATTTGGTTTAGATGCTTAATTCTAAATTCATTTGAAATGTCAGTATTTCTTTAGATTTTCACAAAGCACCAAAGACGTCCTACTGTGTTAATTATAGCTGGGCACTTCATGTGTAATGATGCGTAGCATGCACTTAGATCTCTTCTACACTGCAACTTTATCTTCACCATTCTAAACCTTTTTATTGGGCTGTCACACAGGTACTTAAAACTCAGTGTCTTAACAGTATATTGATTATCTTTTGCCTCTTGAAACTTGTCTATCTTCTTCATCCTTCGTAAATGATACCACAGGCTGCTGTTATCCAAGCCCGACCAATGAGTTACCTCTAATGCTTCCCTCTCTTTTACTCTATATCTCCTTAGAGACCAAATCTTCATTTTGATCTCTTTTACCCCTGTTCCTACTAGTACGGCCTAGGTTCAAAATCATTCAGGCTTTCTTAACATTTCTACTTCACACTGTGAATAGGTAGCCCTTTGGGCGTCCAACTTCATGTGAGTCTCCTATTGGACTCCTTGAGGGAGAGCCCTAGGTATTATCCCTGATGTTAGGCCCACACTGCTGTGCAGACAAAGTGTGAGGTTATTGTGGTTTGCATAAATTTCGGAATATGGTTTCAGGGCTCGTTCCTTTCCAGAATTCCCATTTAAGTTTCATTTCTGGCCCCTGTAGAATCTTATTTTTTTGCCAGATCAGAGTCTTTAAGAAGATACTTTACTATTTCGTCCAGCTCTTTTAATTTTTTTCCATTGGGAATATCATTCAGATCTCTAGTTTGACAGGGTTGCAAGTCTTGCCTTATCTAAAGGGACAGTTCCGCATCAACTCATGCTGATTCCATTTGGGAGTGCTGGCTTGGTGTTGCCAACTCTTGATTTTTCAAAAAAACTTAGGAATATTGTTATTTTTAACGTCCTTATTTTTAAATATTGTCAGTTAATTTATTTCTTTAAAGTGAGTGAGTTACAGACTAATGGTGAGTGAGAGAAGCCAGGCAGAAAATACCTACTATAATTCCATATGAAGTTAAAGGAAAAAACAGGCAAAGTTCATTTGATCTCAAAGTAGAATGGTGGTTATCTTTAGCAGAATAGTGGTAGAGTGACTGGAAGGGGCATGAAGGAGTTTTCTAGGTGCTGGGAGTGGTTTACATAATGATCTGGATGGTGTTACATTGATATATATAAAATTCATTGAGCTGTACACTTAGGTTTTGTGCACTTTATAGTTTGTAAGTTAAACCTTAGAAAGGTTAAAGAAAAATGTGGGTCAGACAAAAACAGACAAAACTAGACCAGCCTCTGCAGATCGCTTAAATTTTATTCCTTAAGTCAGAGAATATCTATTCGAAATAGTTTTGTCCCTTGGAGAATTGTTAGTACTGTATTGAATTTTGGCATCATACTATCAGCTCATGTGAAAGGGTGTTTTGAGGAAACACCTTAAGAATTTTAAACTCAAGGGCTGTCTTTATGATGATAAATGGGAGAAATTTTCCCAGATAGTACCAGGAATAATTTGGGAACACTTAATTAGCTTCTAAAGTTATAACTAGTAATGTTTTTCTCTGTATTCTACTAAGTGCAGAGCCATAATTAAGACCCTCCTCTAGCTTAGATTATAGAACTTTATAGCACATATTTTCAAAGTTAATCTTATTCACAGATTCAGAAGTTTGCATTCCGTCATCATTTAACAAGCAGAATAAACTTGTTCCTGACACATTTTTAAGCTTGAAATTTTTGTTGAATGCATATTGTTGGGAAATAGTTTAATTCTATTGGCTTTATTTAGATATAAGTTAAAAAGTTATTGTGATTGGGGTTGAATAGCATTGAACATACTGTTAAATTATAAATAATGAGAAAAATAAAGTTGTACTTTTGTTTTAACTAGTAGTTATAGCAGTAACTAAGTATAAAGATAGCATAATTTGCCAGGTATATAATAGGTGCTGAGTAAGTTTTTATCTTTTCTTTTAGTTCCCTTGGCAATGAAAACCCAGCAGCTCCCTTCAAAAATTCTTTTTAAAAAGTTATTAAATAAGATCCGAAACCAAAAATCTCTCTGGACAATTAAATCTGTGTCTGAGGATGAAAGTGAAATGATTACAACTTCTAGTGAAACTGAGAGTAAAGCACCAACAATTGAATCAGAAACAACTGCTGTCAAAGAGGGAACATTATCCTCTGGGCAGGAACAAGGTGGGTCTGTTTGTTATCTCATTTTGTAATCCAGAATCCCCTTCTGAGTTACTTAAAAATATGCTCATTCCTGAAAAATCAAAGAATAGAGGTCAACATCCAGAAAATATTTTAGAGCACATAATGCTGCTACGTAAAGGCAATAAATGTTAAAAAACAAAAACTGAAAAACTTTAGTGACTCTCCTTCCAGAGCACTTCTATTAAAATGTGCATCAGCTCATATCATTCCTTTGCGGGGAAGCCCTCCAACAACTCATTTCACTCAGTAAAACCCAAAGTATTTACAGTGACATCATACCCATAAGTGATCTGCACACACATACACACCTCTCCCCCGTCATTTCTCTCTCCCTCTTTCTCTCCATCTTTTTCTATACCTTCCCGACCATAGGCGCTGGCTTCCTCGGTATTCCTCAAACACAGAAAACATGACTCACGAGTCTTTGCAGTTGCTGGTCTTTTTGGCTGGAGTGCTCATAGATATTTTAATGACTCACTCTCTCTCTTCATGTATTGGCTCAGCTTTCGCTTTCTCAGTAAGGCCTTCCCTTACCACGCCACATGAAACAGCAAGCTCCCATCCCACCCCGCCCTCCCCTCCCCTTTAGTCCCTATCCCAGTTAACCCTGCTTTCTCTCCATATCCCTCATCAACATATGATAGACCATAAATTTACTTTTTTGCGTATTTGTTCTCTATCTTGACACAATATAACTCCATGAGGCTGGAAACTTGATTTTGTTCATTGCTATATCCCAGAGCCTAGGGATCTGGGTTCTATCCCTTACACATGAAAGGTGTTCAGTTAATATTTATTTATTTAATTGAGTAACTTAAAGGAAGAGAGATAAGTTTGGAAGTGAGACATACATATGATAATTGAAGCCATGGGTATGGAAGAACTCTTAGGGGAAAGAATTCAGTGAGAAGAGGGCTTAGAAGACCATCTGAGGGACTCTAGCATTTAGAAAATGGGTAGAGAAGGGGCAAACAGCAAAGGCAGTAAAAGGGAGTGGCCATCGATGTTGCAATAAAAGAGGGCTCTTTCATCTTCAATTTACAACCAGGTTATTTTGAAAAAGGCCTTGTATGAGGAGAATTTCTCTAGCCTCTTCTTCATTTCCCCCTTGTTTAACTACATCCCGTGTATATTGATCCTCTTTCAGTTTCTTGAATGGGCCAAGTTGTTTTTATCCTCATAGGGCGTTAACACCTGCTTGTATGGCTGATTCTTTGTTACCTTTCAGGTGTCGGCTTAAGTGTCCTGTCCTAAGAGAAATGTCATCTGAGCCCTAGTTTAATTCAGATTCCCCTGCAATACTCTATTGTAAAACCCTTTATTTCTTTTATATAGTACTTATCCTAGTCTCTAATTTTATGTATTTTTCTAGAATAATTATATATGTTTCTATCCCACTAACTCTGTAAAACCTCCTTGAGGACATTTCTTATTTACCACAGTGGCCCTGGCATGCAGCACATAAGTAGATGCTGGATGAACACTTAATGCAGAGTTTCTGGCTACCCTGTTATGATTTCTTAACTTTCTTCTCTGCTCTGGTTTCATAAGTAATAAAAATTGCAATAACTAAATATGTCAAAGATACATTTAAATTTTAGCTTCTCTTTAAACTATGATGCCTTGCTTATTCTCCTTTTACGCTTTTCCATTGTGTTTGAAGCTGTCAGCATGCCTCCGTAATGGTTCTATTATGTTTCCTTTTTTGTTTACAATTTTAGTCTTCCATCTGTCTCTTCATATTAGGCTCAAGTTTCATATATAAAATATGTGGTCATCTAGAGGGTGACTGGATCTTAAATAAGACATTCAGGTGGACCAAGATTGAATTGTTAATCTGAGTGCAGATTTTTGTTTCTTTTGTTCAGATTTAAGCTTAACAATGATAATATATTCATAATAACATGTCTATTACAGTTGTTGAAAGTGATACGATAACAGTTGACTCTGGACCACTTACAAGTGAAGATCAACCAATTTTATATGACGCAGACTCTAAAAAGGAACAAGGTATTTGTTTTTATTTATTTCCTCAGATTAAACTTGCTTGGCTCTTCAAGTCCTTTTCCTAATAAAATTATATGTAATGAATGAATAAAGAGCATTATAGCAGTGTCAAAGTTCTAAATTATTACAATAATTTTTGTTTTGGGAATCCTCTTAGAAATAAATGAACCTACCACAACTGTAGCTAAGAGTTCAGTACTACTCCATCCCCAAGAAGAAGCAGCCAGAATTAGAATGGCAGCAAGACAGAAACAGGTAATTTGAAACTTTTATTTTTAAAGGTTTTTTCCTTCCCGTAGATACTATAGTTTTGTTTGACCAGTGAAATTTGCCTTAATGTCTGGCTACGTTTGATACCATTTACTGTACCTTGACTTTCACATTCAGCTGATAGAAGACACTTCATCTTTGCTTGTTTTACTCATTCAGCCCTGTTTTGTATTTTATATTTTGTATATATCTTATGTTCCCTATGAAATTTTTCAGTTTTTTTAAAGTTGGAGACTTTTTTAAAAACTTCAACTTATTCTACATAGTTTCTGGTACAATGCCTTATGCATAGTAAGTACTTAATAAATATTTGCTGAATAAATTAGTCCCTATTGTAATATTGGACACTCAACTGAGTTTTGTAATTGCAAAATTTTTTTGAAAAATAGTATTTCAGAAGAAAAATATAAATTCAACCATCTTAACTATAATTTTGGTCCCATATACTTTAGTAAAAGATTTTTTTGAATACAAATTACCTTGAAAGAGGCTGGTTATTACTAAGCCAGTCAGCTGTGGAGTGCAAATTCTATGAGCGAGTATTTCTTCTCAAGTAAATGTTTTCTAATCAGTATGCTAAAGCGGTATTGTCCAATAGAACTTTCTCTGGTACTAAAAATGTTCCATATCTGTGTCTAGCTACAGGGACTGTTAAATATTTCAATACTAGAAATATGACTAGTGTAATTGAGGAACTGAATTTTAAATTTTATTTAATTTGAATTAATTTACATAGTCACAAATAGCTAGTGACTTTTGTATTGATGGTGCTGTTCTAGAGGTACTACAGAACTGTAAACAGCGAAATTCAGGGGCTCCTGTGAGTGAGGGAGAGTAAGGAAGATGAAGATAAGAACTTACCTGTGGCCTGATGACTTATTGGTGTTAACTGTTGCCTGATTAGAAATAGGTGAAGTTTCAGATTGAGGCATTTTTTTAGTTGGAAAACAACATTATTTTTTATTACTTCTAATAGAAGTGTTCCTCTTAATAAACTGCACATACATTCATATTTCTACTTATTCAGTAAAGGTTTATTATGTATTACATATGTATCAGGGACTTTACTAGGTGCTGGATTTAGCAGGCAACCAGTCTAGTCCAGTCCCTGTCCTCATGAAACTTAGTTGCTTTGACATGTGTTCTTACTACTTGGATGTGTGTGTGCACGTGCGCATGTGTGTGTGTGTTGCTGTAAATATTATGGTTTAGGCATCATTCCTGTGCCATTGTCTGACCATCTGTTTCATGCCTGACAGAAAAGATACAGAATTTTCTCATTGTACTACTATTTGGCTTCTAGGTAACTACACTCCTTTATGGGTATGCCTAGGAAATCAGAGTGAGGAGGCCTTGACATTTAATTTCTTTGTCATTTCTTGCTGAGCACATTGCAAAATTAAAGAAATGAACACAGAATTTGGCCGAACATTGTTTGCTACTTCTCTGGAGGTTGTTCTTCAGTGATGATCAAAGTTTCCCTGTGCTCCCAGGAACTAGAAATAGTTAATGTATTTATTTTTTTCTTCTTTTTCTGCCTCTTTTAAAATTCTTTTCTTTTTTCTCCTTCCCCCCTTATCCATGTCTCACTCCCTTCCCCCCTCTGGCAGTAGCAATAACAGATAATATTCTAGGGTAATTGGTACTATTGAGGATAATACCTGTTTCTTTTCAATGTATAAACTTTGGCATGAGTTTGTTGTTAATAGATGAATAGTTTTCTTTGTTACTTAGATAATGGAAATAGAGGAGCAGAAGCAAAAGCAATTGGAATTACTTGAACAAATTGAGCAACAGAAGTTAAGACTAGAAGCTGATTGCTTCAGGGCTCAGCTGGAAGAAGAAAAAAGAAAAAGAACTCCACAGACTAGGGTAGGATGTTGGGAAATCTCATCCCTACATAGATAATAGGGGGACAAGAAAATATAAGTAATCTTAGCATTCAGAAAAGTAAAATGCATTTCTAATTCTTATTTGGTAATTTTTTTCTTATAATCATGTATACATATAAGTTTATACAAACCAAATGGCTTTTATCTCTCAGCTTCTAGAGAGTGCCAGTATAGTGACTATAATTTGTATATACTGGGTATGCTGAGCTCTTGGACTTGGTTGGCACTAAAAGAAAATGGTAGAAGATATCATTTCTTAATAATGGAAGTGCCAATCTTTTTTATAAACAAATAATAATAAAGCTATATGGAAGTTAAATATAGAACTTTAGTTCATATTAAATACCTTATTGCTTGTTTCTGGATTTGCCTTTTAATTAGTAGTTTTGTCTTTTATTAGGTTGGCGCTATTCCAGCATCATGCACCATAAATGCTGATGAAGAAAGTCATAGGCGGATGATTCGTAACTATCAACGTCAGCTTTTACAGCAAAACAGGTATTAGCCAGGGTACAATTCATGTTACAGTGTGTGGCTACATCTTCAGGATTTATTATTTATATGAAGATTTAATTGGGACTCCCTTAGACTTATGGCATATAGATTTCTCAAAGTGCAATGTAAACATTGTTTCTTTTCCACCATGATTCTGGCCAGTCCTAGATTGCTTTTGAATTTAATGTATAGACAATTGAGAATGTGGAGCATTTTTTTAACCAAGAAAGAATAATATTTGTTTTGTTTTTGTTTATTTTTGGCAGGTTTCATAGACAGTCCGTTGAAATAGCCAGAAAGCAATTACTCGATTATCAGACTATGTTAAAAGGAAAGTACCCATCCATGACAGGTGCATCATTAATATCTGATTCTGTTACATCAGCCATACCACAGAAATCTGAAAGACCCACTGTTACATCAGAACATTGGGATCAAGGTCAGAGACCCAAGTGGAGTCCTAAGAAATATCAACCTGTACAACCCATACAGATACCCAGATTAGAACAGGGTTATTTTCAGGTTCCAAGACAAAATCACTTCCTGCAAAGACAGGTAGAAACAACGGAAACAGACATTTTAGACAAGAAATGTTTGGAGTCACAGGAGCAGCCAAAGCAATCTCCACAGACTGAAACACAACAGAGAGATGATAAATCAGCCCCTAAAGATTCTCATATACTTTCAAGGGCTTTATCACATGATAAGCCACTAATACTGCAGCATGCTAGTGAAGTAGCTGAAACTTTAAACTCCCAGCAAATGCCCTCAGGGAACAATGAAAGTACATCTTCTAAACCAACTGAACCTTCTTCATTCCTACCGCTGGTAGCTGAGCATTCATTTAGTTCTCTACATGCTAAAATTGAATCTGGAAAAATCGAAGAACCCTTTTCAATGTTGGGTAAAAGTGCAGTTTCTGTAAGCCATTCTGTAATCAGCCAAATGAAGGATAAGTCTTTGCTATCCTCAGAGAACATCACAACCCAGCAAGATAATTTGAAGGCTCTCCAAGAGCAGTTGTACCTACAGAAGGAAGTCCTTCGGTCCAGACAGGAAGCTCAGGAACAATTGCTTTTGGGCAAACAGAAAGAATTGGAACGGCACACCGGCGTCTCTGTACTCCTTCCAGTGGTACCTCTGGGTTCCTCTGCTTCACTGTCTTCTGCCAAAGCTGAATCAGGGAGAATCCAGAAATCTTCTCCTACCAAGAATGATACTGCAGTTTCCTCAGACCATCCTGGGGTTCCACAACTTCAGAATACGCTTTTGAGTTTTTCACAGCCTATCTTATCACAGCAAGATAATTTTAAATTTCTTCAGGAACAGTTAAATACTCAGAGGGACAGCCTTCAGGCCAGGCGGGAAGCCCAGGAAGTGTTATGTGTACATAAACAGGGTAAGCTGGATAGAAGAGTGTGGTCTGAACAGACTGATCCACCTTCTCTCCCATCTCAGGTAGCTCGGCCTACAATCACTTCATTAGTTTCTGCTGGTACTCAGTCTGAAATCCCCGAATCTCAGGATGGCTCTTTGAGTTTCCTACAGCAGTTCCTACCTTTGCATGATAGTTTGAAGTCGCTCCAAGAGCAGCTGACTGCACAGAGGGATGCTCTTCAGGCTAGGCATGAAGCCCAGGCGAAATTACTTTTACACAGACAAAAGGATTTGGGGGATAGTAAGTTAGGACAGATGAGTTCTTCATTCCCACCAATGGTTGCTCAACGTTCAGGTGCTTTGCAAGCTTCTGCTAAAATGGAGCCTGGGAGAATTCAGAACCTTTATTTGTCTAAGAAGGAAAGTACAGTCCCCTCAAGTCACTCGGTAGCCTCAGTGTTTCGGGATGAGTCTCTCAGTTTTCCACAGCATAGCCTGCCACAGCAAGAAAGTTTGACAACGCTTGAAGAACAGTCACACATACAGAAGATAAGAATTGGTGCTGAGCAAGAAACTCAGGGATTTGTACACAAACAAAGTGAATTAGAAAAAGGAATTTCTTCTGAACAGACTGGTACCTCTTTATCCCTGTCCCAGATAGCTGAATTTGAAACATGCCAGGAATTTATGTCAAGTGACAGTGCAAGGCCCTTAAGCCATTCTATCTCCAGATCTCAGGAAAGATTTCTGAGATTTTCACAAGATAATTTGGAGGGCCACCAAGAACGGCTAGACACAAAAGAGGTGCTTCATTTTAGCCAGAAAACGCAAGGAAATACATCCTCTGAACAAACTGGTTCCTCCTCATTCATACCCCAGTTAGGACAGCTTTCATTTACTTCATTACCTTCCGAATCTGGTACAACTCAGGAACCTCTTTCAACAGGAAGTGATGGCAAAATTCCTTTGAGCAATATTCAGATCCCACAGTTGCAGGATAGGCTTTTGAGGTTATCACAACTTATCCAGCCTCAACAAGATAATCTGAAGGCACTTCAAGAACAGTTAGCTACACAAAGGGAAGCCATTGTTCAGTCTAGACGAGAAGCCCAGAAAGAATTACAACAGAATGAGTGGAGGGAAAGGATATCTCCAGAGCAGACTGGCACCTCTTCCTTCTTACCCCTAAGTGTACAACATTCATTTGTTTCATTACCTCTTACTGAATCTGATAGAATCCAAGAACCTTGCCCAACTAAGAGTGATAATATAGCTTCCTCAAGGCATTCTGAGATACCAAGATTGCCTGATAGTCTTTTGGGTGTATCACAGCCTGTTTTACCTCAACAAGTTATGTTGCCCAGACAAAATAAATTTGAGGAAAAGATATCTTCTGAGCATCTTATTCAACCTCATCATCATGATTTGATGGTACTTCAGCAGCAGTTAGATATACAAAGGAAAGCCATTCGGTTTAGACAGGAAGCCCAAGAAGAATTCCTTTTGCAAAGACTAAGTAAATTGGAAAAAACAGTGTCATCTGAGCAGCTTAGTGCCTCTTCATCCTTACCCCAGGTAGCACTGCCTGTTGTGGACTCTGAAAGACTCCACAGTTCTTTTCCAGCCAGAAGTAACAATATTCCTTCAAGTCACCCTGAGATCCCCAGATCACAGGACAGGCTTCTGAGTTTATCACAGCCTATCCTGCCTCAGCAAGATCATTTGATAGCACAATTAGACTTGCAAAGGGAAGTGATGAACTCCGATGCAAAGGCCCAGGAAGACCTGCTTTTAAACAAAAAAAGTAAGTTGTCTGAAAGTGAATCTTCTGAGCACACTGTTCCCTCTTTGTTTCTACCCAAGGAAAGAGAGCATTCATTTGTTCCACTACCTTTTGCTGAGGTTAAATATAAAGACATTTGTGAATTGGATTTATCCAAGAATGAACATGCAGTTTCTTCAAGCAATTTTATGGTACCAAAATTTCAAGATAGACTTTCACAGCCTGTCTTAGCTCAGCAAGATAACTTGGGACTTCAGAAGCAGATGGATCTACAAAAAGAAGTTCTGCATTATAGACAAAAAGCTCAAGAAGAGCTGCTCTTACAGAGACAAATAGCATTGCAGCAGCAGATACAGAAACATGAAGAGACTTTGAAGGATTTCTTTAAAGACAGTCAGGTATGTATTAAATTTGAATGTCTAAGAATTAAACAATGGCGTTAACCTAACTTAGACGAGCTAAATGTTTTCATGTTAGGCCTAAATATTACAAGTTCTTAGTTATTGAGAATAAGCAGTTTGACCTTAACTGCTTTAATTTTCTACATTAAAGAATATGAAAATTAATACATAAACACTACCTTGCATAGTATTTATGAGGTTAATAGTTATTTGAAGCCCAACTTAATTTTTGCCAGTAGTTTGATACAACCAAATGCAAACCCTCTTAAAAAAAAGTATATTGTCATTCGAAGTTTTGTTACGAAGGATTTTAGGCTTACCATAAGAAGATTAAATTGTGAAATAACTGATTAGAATTTTCTTGTGCTTTCTATATAGCACTTTGTTGACATTTGTGTGTGAATCATAATCAGTACCCTCTTTTTCCTTAAGTGACAAAATTAACACCTGCTGTAAAATTCGCATGATTTTAGGCTGATGGACAGCTGGGCCTGCTGCTTGTCAATGAATTATTGAGAAGACTCTGGCATAGTCACTCAGATATTCATTGTTTCTCTTTATGGCAGATAAGAGTATATAATCTAAGTGTGCCTGTGTTCATTTTACTTTGAAAGGCTGTTTCCTTAGTTTATGATTTAGCTTCAGTAGAATTCTGTAAGTCCTTGATGTTCTGAAGAAGCTTGAGTTGAGTTCATGAGAATTTGAGTTCTAGGGATTACTGGTCATTTGAAGGGAAAGTAGTGGGAAAAGAAAGCATACTCAGGTAGTGGGAAAGAGACATACTTAAGTAACGTCTCTTACTGAAATGTACAATGAAGGCTAAGTTTTAGGTTGAAGGCTGCGAGTGGTTATACTTTCTAGTGGAAATATATCACTCTTTCAATATTAGAAGCATTTCTCATTTTTTATCTATGGATCTAAAGTTGTAACAGTATGATTGATAGAACTAGTTATTTGGTTGAGGTTCTAATTTAAGAGCCAGATAGAAATTTAATGAATGCTTCACATGATCTCTTATCCTGTGTTATCCCCACTCTCATCTGTGCACTGTTTCAGACAAGTAAGCCCACTCTTGAAAATGATTTAAAACCCCAGATGCTCAGAGAGTGGCTTCCTCATCTTCAAGACCAAGCAAGAGATGATTATGAAAACATTAGTCCTGCAGATAGCAGCAACTCTGCTGATAATCAGCGGCTTTCAGAAGGTAGTAGTACCAAGCAGAGTGGTAAGATAATTGGATTTTATTGTAAATATTCCACTGATTATTCTTTGCTTTCATTTCCTGCAACCTGCTGGCGAAAGAAGTTTGTAATATGTTAATAGGTTTGTATTCTGCCTAACTTTATCATTGACTTGATAGGTGAGCATCTGATCAAAGAGCTGGGCAGGAGAGCCTCAAAGCCACCTGTGGCAAAAATTAAATGTGGATTGGACTTGAACCAACATGAACTTAGTGCTATACAAGAGGTAGAATCACCAGCAAGTGGCAGACCTTCTATACTAGGTAAACAGATGGTTTGATAAAATATGGGTTTTTTTTTATAGTTTGCCAGTTTTCTACATTTTTTTTAGCATGCTAGTATTTTGCTGTTGAAGAAGAAGCCTGGCTATGAGTACTTGTGGAAAGAAAAAATGTTTTTTATAAACAGTAGATAGAATTTGGACTTAAAGAATTGTGGCATAGGTAACTGGCTTTTTCTTGTGTATGGGGGAAACCAGAGTGCTGGTTGGTATCCCACGTTCTGACGCTCCTGCTTCCCTCTGCTTCCTTTCGTATCTGCCTTCGAAACCTGTTTCTTTGGGATATAATTCAGGTTTTCTCTTTACCCTTGTGGTTTTTCTACTTCAGTACCTTCAGTGTTCTTTTCCTGTATCTTCTATAAGTTAAGTATTATGCTTAAGATCCTGGCTTTAAGGACAGTTAGGTGTATTTGTTCACTGTACTCTTTCCTAGATCCAGTTATATAGAAAAATTCCTCCCTGTGATCCTTAGTAAATAACCCTGTTTGGATTTCTTGATTATTTTTAGATTTCAGACTTACCAAATAGTTTTCTTAATCAAATTTATCAAAGTAAATCATTTTTAAGAGAGAAAATAGCTCGGCCAATAGAAAGGTTCATGGAAATACAATGTTAATATTAGTTATTTTGGTCTTCAGCCATAAAATACTGTGTCTTTGTTTCTGGCTGAAAGAATTAAAGATGGTAGGGATTGAGAGCAATTCTTAAGAATCAGTCCCCTTTCTGCTTTCTTATTATGTTTTATGGAACTTATAGAGAAATGATTTTACTTATTACTAAGCATTGGAAGTTTGGTTTTTTGTTTTTTTTTCTATTTTGCACTGTTTGGCAAACTATAACCTCAGGAATTGATTGATGCTTTCTCTAATTCACAATGAACATTGGGAAATACTCACCATCAAGTCCTATAATTTAATGGGTTGTGCTTCAGATTTCATCATGTCTTCATGTCTGAAAGGGAAAGCTTTACAATGTTCCTTCATGTCCAGTTCCTTATCCTTCTGGCTTTTTCTGTAAGTTTTGATACTTCCCTTATCTACCTCTTCAACACCCAGTACGTCACCAGCTCTTCTCAGTTCTGCTTGGTCAGCTCTTGGCCTCTGTCCACCTCTTCCCATTCCCACTACCATTCTTTTAATTCGGACCATCATTTCTTTATGAAATGGGTGCTACATCTCCCACTGTCTCCCTGGGTCCAGTCTAGCTTTAATTCGTTTTCCCATGAAAGTATATTAACATTATACTTCCATGTACTTTTCTATTGACAAAACTAATTTCTCTCTTAAAGAAAAAAGAATTTACTGTGATAAATTTGATCAAGAAAACTATTCGGTAAGTCTGACATCTAAAAATAATTATGAAATTCAAATAAGGCTATTTCTCCCCGTTTGAAACTCCAGTGGTTTCCCTTTGATTTGAGGAACAAGTTCCAATTAAAGTCTAAGTCCCCAGCTCCACCCTCCAGGCCCCTCAGGATCTCGTTCCTCCCTTCAGGGCTGGCTTAAGTGCCACTTGTCCAGTAGGCTTTTCCTGACCTGTCAAGTATCTCTCTCATGTGCTCTTTGGGAGCTTTCATTATAGCCTTTATCACACCACTTTAGGTAATACTTTTAATCAAAATGCTACAGGCAAAGAGTTTACAAAGGCAAACAGTGCTAAAATGTTAAAACATGAAACAGAAGCAGTTCTTCCTGCATTACCCACCCACCTCTTACTCCTTACTCTGCTAACCAGAAGTGGTCACTTTACAAGTCTTTTAGGTGCTGCTTCTTGTATTTGTCTCCAGAGTTGGCAGTGAATTTTAGTAGAAATTAAGCTAAATTAGCATCATGCTGATGTATATTTTTCACTGCTGAGGCAATTAGTATACTATGGTTATATTTCCTATTTGTAAAACTTTTCCTATAGTAAATTGTCTTCTTTTTTTCATTTGCTTAAAGCTTCTGTCGAACGTCTGTCCTCTCTCACACTAATACTTCTATTAAGTATCTCTAATATCATTCTAGATCACACCATTTTCTCTGTGGGACATCTTTTAGTTGAAAGTTGGATGACCTGTATCATGCATTTTTAACAAGAGTATTACTGTTCCCAAAAGGGATGAAAACTGATTATTGGAGAAGTGAAAAAGTCTTAATCTTTTTATATCCCAAAGCAAGATACATAGGTACATAGAAAAGTATACAAATATTCTATAGTTATTAAAAGTTCATGGAGTTATGAGGCAATGTTTTAAAAAGCCTAGAAAAGCTCCTTAGGTGGGTGATGATAAAAGTAATGTCGAGAAACACTGATCTATATTGATCTTTCAGGGTTTTTTTTCTACAGTTCTTTTTTTTGACTTTACTTTCTGGGAGAATTTCCTCAATTTTTGCTTCTAACTTTTCTTATGACTTTTTGTTTTTACTATCAAATTGCAGCTTCTAAAACCTTGCTCTTTTTCCTAATTTTTTCCCCCTTTTTCTTAACATTGCTGTTTTCATGGATTCAAAATAATACCTACTTCATATATTTATAGTTTTTTGTTTGGGTCCTGTGTTTTCTCTGAGTTCTTTTGCTTCTTTCTTTGTTTCTTTGTTATTTCTGTCTGATATTTTAGAGGCTTTCGCTAATAGCTTGCATACTGGAGTGGGATGCTTAAAGGCTAATTGGAAATCCTGTAGGTTGGGGGCCTTATGTATTGCTGAACTTCATTGGAAAAGGTGGCTTTTCACTGGGGACCCTCAACGTAGTATCTGTAGTTCTTTCCTCTAAGTCAGTTTATAGTTTAGTTCTTCAAATAAAGATCCTCCGAGCCTGATACAAGCCTGGCTGCTGCTGTTGTGCAGCCAGACATGAGGGGTCTGGGCTGAGGATGCCGTCTTTCTTTTCCTACCCCTGATTTGTTTTAAAATGGCCTTCTGTCTCCTCCATTCACCCTTGCACCTTTCAGTGCCTGATCCTCCTAAATTCAGAATGTATTGGATTCACTTTCGCCAGAGGATAAACCTGCAGTCACCTCTGGGGGTGATGCTGAAGGACAGGGCTGTCCCTGAGTGGGAGGGATCTGTTCCAAGTATATAATTTTAAACATTCACTCTCTTTTAGTCCCCTGACAAAAGCCTCCCTTTTGCACTGCCTTGAATTCCCAAATTTTGGGGGGTACACACTAAATTAGTATTTACTTTTATGAATTTCTCACTCCTTTGTTTTAATTTTTATATCAAAGTATAACATTCGGAGAAGTGCTTAAATCCTAGGCGTTTATTTCGGTGATGACCACTGTAGTCACGAGCCGCAGTGAACGCCGCCCTGGTCAGGAGCCAGGATCTTAGAGCACTCCGCAAACCGCTCCTTTGTACCCCCGCGATTACTGTCTGCTCAATTCTCCCCAGCATAAGCCTCTGTCTTGATTTCTTGTGCCACAGGTTAGCTGTGGCTATTTTTGAACTTTCTATTATGAATGCATATTATATCTTATAGTACTATGAATGGTTAGTAAGTCTCCAGGCTTTTTACCTGTGATTCAGTACTGAAGCATTATCTGGTATTAAGTAGGTGTACCATTAAAACTCAGTAAAATTGAAGTAAAATAATTTAAAGACCTGTGTGAAAAAAAAGTAGTTATTATTTTTTTGCTACATAGATCAAGTCTTTGAGAGTTTAGATTTTTGCTCCATAATCTAAATTGCCATTTTAGTTTTGGCTAGAGCTAGAAATGTAAGTGGAAGTCTGATGAGTCAGTTTTTTTCCCTGCCAGGTAGACCAGATTTTTATGAAGACAGGGACCCCCTGAGGGTCTCTATAAGTCGAGAACAAAGTTTCCTTGGGACCCCACTGAACCGTGATCCATTTGCTCATCCTCAGCCGACTGCCCAGGAGAACATCTGCGGTGATGACTATAACGAAGCAGGTGAGAAAGAAATGGAAAATGGAATTGCTGTGCATAAGGGTATATGGACAAAAGATATTTTCTGTAGTGTTATTTGTGCTGAAGAATGGTAAATAACTTCAGTGACTGTTGGGAATAGAATCATTATGGTGCACCCATACAGTGCAGTTGTACGTAGTGTTGGGGGGGAAATCTGTGTTCATGCTTGGAAAATTATCTGTCTGGTCCTGGCTGGTGTGGCTCAGTGGACTGAGCGCCCACCTGCCGATTCCCGGTCAGGGTGCGTGCCTGGGTTGCAGGTCCCTTCCCCTCTCTCAAAATAAATAAATAAATAAAGTTAAAACGAACCAAAAAAAGAAAATTGTCTGGATGATAGTCACCGAAGTGTTGATACAGGTTTACATTATTGGAGGCTGGGTTGCACTCTCTATGTTTGCCTGTAGATATATATATATTTTTTAATAAGCATGTATTCTGTAGAGAAAAGGTTGAATGAGGGCAATAAAGTTTATTTAAAAAATAATTAATTTCACTTTTCAATTGTTTCACTAAATAAATGCTAGTAGGAAGTATTTGAAAGTATGAGATTTATAGTTGGCAACCTATACAAATTTTATGTTTAAACCTATTCCTAACCATTCACATTTAATTAAATGCTATTAAATATTATCTTTAAAAAATTATGTACCTTTCAAAATTAGCTATTTTTTTTACTTTTAAATATTTGGGGAAGAAAGATGATTACAAGGAAAGAAAAACATTAAATCACTTAATTTTGCCACCCAAAGATAGCCAGTGTTAATTTTCTCACTTTTGAATTTGTGCATGTAAGTAACAAGCTGTTTTACATATGTAATGTGCTCACGTGTGTAAAAGCACAGTTTTAGTACTGCCTTATGAGTCCTAAATCACCTTTTACATAGTTACTTTTCTATGATTTCTTTTTATTTTAGCTGTCACATATACTTGAGTGATTATCTTAGTTACATGTATAGTTTAATAGAATCAAAGATGAGACTTATTCTCTATTTGAGGACTTATAGAAAAATTTAGCAATGTTTTTAAAAATTAAAGATTGAAATAAGTGCAAAGATTATAATTTCCAGTGAATTATATATAGTTTTCGACACATAAAGTAAAACTGTTATATCACTATTTGAGATTTAGCTGGAGGATACATGTATTTTTTTTTTTCTACCTGCTGATGCCCTCTGGCCAAAGACTATCAGGAACACACCTGCAGTTGAACAAAGCTGAGGGTTTTGGCTTGTAAGGTAGGCCACCACCAGGGAACAATGAGATATCTCAGTAAGAGGGCATTAGAAAGGACTCTCTTGGTCCTGGTCAGGTAGCTCAGTTGTTAGAGTGTCATCCCAATATACAAAGGTTGAGGGTTTGATCCCTAATAAGGGCACATACATGAATCAGCCAGCCCTGGCTGGTGTGGCTTAGTGAATTGGGAGCCACCTTGCGAACCAAAGGGTCGACGGTTTCATTCCCAGTCAGGGCACATGCCTGGGTTGCAGGCCAGGTCCCCGGTCAGGGGGTGCATGAGAGGCAACCACACATTGATGTTTTTTTTCCCTCTCTTTCTCCTTCCTTTCTCCTCTCTAGAAATAAATAAAATCTTAAAAACAAAAAAAAAGAACCAACCAATGAATGCATAAATAAGTAGAACAAATCAACGTTTCTTTCTCTCCTTTCTAAAATTAGTAAGATAAAAATATCTTAATGTAAGATTTGGGTTTCTATTAGATGAGTTTGAGGAGGATTCAAGGAAATGGGGCTTTGTTTATTAGTATTGGATGTTATCACGGAATAGGGTTATTTTGTTTTGGGGTACCTAAAATTCTCATGGAGGGGGCAGGAATAATAGAGTGAGGCTAATTAAAGCTGTAACTGGTAAAGCAGCAGTGGTCACCCATATTAGCCAGGATAAGGAGATGCTTGATCATTTGTTTTTTTAAAGGTTTTATTTATTTATTTTTACAGCAAGGGAAAGGGAGGGAGAAAGAGAGAAACATCGATCTGTTGCTTTCTGTACACACCCCAGCCAGGGACTGAACCTGCAACCCAAGCATGTACTCTAACCAGCAGGCGAACTTGCGACATTTTGCTTTGCAGGACAACACCCAACCCCCTGAGCCACACTGGTCATTTTTGTAGTCTAGACTGTATTCATGATTTTGTTTATATCCAGAGATGAGTACAGGTGGCCTGATTTTTGTCTTGAGCCATCATAGTCACAGAGTGGCCTTTTCTGATACTGGTGTTCAGTGAAGTTGTTAATGTGTAAAATGGAAGAACACCAGGGTCTAGCTGATAGAGCCAGGTCATTTCCTGGCTCTCGAGCTGCTTTTCTTCTTATAATCATCCCCACATTTATACTGTTTCTATCTTAGAAGGGAGGGTCTTAGTGTTGTTACTTCTTCATCCTGTTACCACTTCATTCAGGTCCTCATCACCTCACCTTTCTTTAATAGTGTTTTAGGTGGTATCACTGACATCAAGCTCTGCACCCCTTGCTTTTGCAGGAAGGCAGGAAATGGTGCTTTGCTTCTGAAGGAAAGCAAGAAGCTTTTCTCACAGCATGGGTAGATGACTGTGTACGGCAGGGGTGTCCAACCCGCGTCCTGTTATGAACGTGGCCCAACACAAAATCATGAATTTACTTAACATATTACTTAGTTTTATTACTTAGATATGTACATTTTCTATATTAGTGATCACAAACGTGGGACCTGCTCGACAATTTTAAAAGATTATTGAAAGGACCGCTGCATAACTAGGATTATTATGTGAGGACTTTTTTATCTGTGGTGGCAGATATCATGAAAATTATGCACAGACCCTTTTTTTGCTCATTGGTTTTCATTAGTGTCTGTGTATTTAATGTGTGGCCCAAGACACTTGTCTTACAGTGTGGCCCAGAGACGCCAAAAGGTTGGACATTTCATGATGTTACTTCCCTTTTTAAGAACCGTCTAATGGGCCCCTGCTCCTAGTGAACCATTTCCAAACCAAAGATAGTTATTTCTCTTCCAACTGCTTTCAGGGACGTACGTGTTCATTGACTTCTTCAGTGTCTATAACGGACCTTGCTCCTTTCTCCAATTTTTTTTTTACTTTTCACTTCTTACCCACTACTCAAACATTACTTTGTTCACTCATCTTCCCTCTGGAGGAATCAATCTTCTTGTTATGTTAGAGAGAACAGTATATAATTGTGAGGTATGAATTTAAAAACCCCAGATTAACTTCTAACCCCCCAACTAGCTTTTGAAATGAGCTCCTTAAGACAAAATAAAAACTCACTATAAAAATTCATCATCTCTTTTCTTTGCTTAGAACTCTAGTGTGTATAGAAGCAACCAAATAATAGTTTAATAGCTCAGTTATGTCATAGTATTTTTAAAGAACTAGACTAAAAATTGTATTTAAAATTAAATTGTATTTATCAGTACTATTTGATACTACTTTGTTTAGACTTAATTATCCATAATATAAATATTATTTTACAAATAAATATATCTACACACAAACGTGTGTATGTGTCCAGGGTTACCTTTTAGAAAACATTTCTACACAACCATTTAAGAAACATACTTTAAAAAAAATTTTATTTGTTTTTAGAGAGAGGGAAAGTGAGAGAGAAATGGGGGAGAGAAACATCAGTCAGTTGCATCTCTCACACCCTCAAGTGGCTACTGAACCTGCAACCCATGCTTGTGCCCTGGCCGGGAATTGAACCACGGACCTTTTGGTTTTGTGTGTCAACAGCCAACCCACTGAGCCATACCAGTCAGAGAAAGAAACATAATTTTAATGTGCATGAGTTCTTTTAATAATGTGGTGGTAATAAGATAGAAAGTTTTAGTTTATATTTGGTGAAGTATTTTAACTTGTTTCAGAGCTACAGACAACAATATGCCTTGTCTGGCTTCCTCACAAATGTTGGCTGTTGGAAATAAGAGAAAAATTGGCCCAGAATACCTGACATAAGAGGGAAACAGAAAGCATAATTTTGTATATTTTAGTATGTCAAATATATTGAGAAATGATAATTCATAATAAAAGCAATTCATGCTCATTATGATTTTAGAATGTACTGAAAGTTCCAAAGATGTAAAATTCAACCTTGTCCCAATTCGTAAGCAACCACTGACTGCACTATGTTGTTTTCCTTTCTTGTCTCTTTTTGTATGTATTTTTCTCACCTTTGAGATCATGCTGTATTTATGATCAAATTTTCTTGCTTCTTCACTTAAAATGATGATAAAAGTATTCCCCGTCACATTGGCTCTTTTCAAAAGGGTTTTATTCATAGAATAACAATGGCAACTACTGTTTTCCAAGGAAAGAAATTATTTTGTGCTGACTAGTAAATGTTTGAATAATAAAATGAATGGTGTTTTTTTGTTTGGTTTGGTTTGGTTGATTTTTTGGTCCAAGATAAAGCTACTCTATGAAGCAAAATATGAAAGAAAATATAGGAAAGTAGGAAATGATGCCCTCTGGTGCTAAGAACTTGGTTTGTCATAATCCAAATCTTTTCCCCCCATTTTAGTTGAGGTCAAGGAGGCAGTGGCTGAGAATCATGCAGTATTAAGTTTTGCTGTAGAGAAAGAACATACATATGTGAGTCCAGCTGTGAAGCCAGATAATAAGGTTAGTAATGTCTTAGTGTGTACTACACTGTTAGAGCTGCTTGGCTTTATATTTTGTTTAGTTCATAGAAGTTGTTAAATACTAGAGTGTATCTTTTCTGAGATCTACTCTTAGTGAAGTGGATCAGTGATGAAAATAGCCAAATCTGAGCATCAGAAGACCTTCCAGTCTCCCTGATGCATGATTTCTATAGTCCTGAGAAGCAAAAGTATAAAGTAGTTTTAAAAAGTGCATGTGTGTGCGTGTATGTGTGTGTGTGTGTGTGTGTGTGTGTGTGTGTGAATGTGACAGTGGATAACTAGACTTGCTGAATGAGATTTGGGGGTTGGGGTGTGTGTGTATGAAAATCTGATCAGTTCTGAGCAGTGATGAAAGGTTTTACTACTGACCTATATAATTATGAAGGTTTCTACACTTGATCTGAGCTCAGAATTGGTAACTGCTGATGTTGGTGATTGGTTTTTTTTCTAGATATTCCTAAATTGTGTTCTAATGTTCCCCCTAATTTTAAGGCTGAAACAGAAGAGATTTATCCAGAGCCATTATCTTCAATAACTATTTCTACTGGGAGCTTAAGTAATGAAAACACAGATTTGAGCTTTACAGATCCAGGTAATGTCAGAATATCTGTAAATAAATGGAAAGACCACTACCAGTTCAGTTGCAATATAGTGGTGAGAGCAGACATTGCTTTTCACATTGTGCCGAGAGGTATTGTTTCTTTAAATTGCAAAAATAGTTTTCCTGACTGATAAAATATTGGACAGTATGATATTCTAAACATGGTTGGAAATCACAAGCTTTCAGACCCTTGAGGATGCTCTATGGATCTCCAACAATACTTTCAGAAGCATCCGCTAATGTCACCTTTTCCCATTCAGTGGGAAGGTATGGGAGCAAATTTCTTTGTTGCACTGATCCCTTATCCATATTAATTGTTATGCTTCCCACCAAAATTTGTCTCTAGGGAAGTACCCAGCCATTAAATATTTTCATTATTCTCAATTTGCAGAGTCATTTCCAGAGCATGTGGACCATAGGGCACAAGAATCTACCACTGGCAAAGAAGAAGAAACAATTATTTTAAGTTCTGCATTTTCTCCATCACAAGTTACTTATCAAAGGCAGGACTCTTGGGATGTTCATAAACCTTTGTTGCCTACAACGGAAAAATGTACATCTGGTCAAGCACACATTCAGCACATGACAGACAAGGACATAAATGAAGCAAATTTGATGACTGAAAAAACAGACTTGCCGGGTAAAATTATTTTGAACAAATACTTTTATATAAACTGTAACCATTTACTTTTCATTCCTTTTAGTTTTAAATGGTGATTGTTTGAGTCCATGTTTTCATGGCCTGCTACCACAGTTATGCCAAGGAACAGATTGAGGGCGTTTAGTGAGAGAGGGCACTTGGAACCAGTTAGACACACAGAAGAACATGTAGAAGAGTTCAGCAGATCATCCTTTACCATAGCAGAGTTAGATACAACAGCGTGAGGGCAGTACCAATGTTGAGAACAAGAACTCAGAAATCAGACAGACATGGATTCAACTCCTAGTTTGACCAGTTTACTAGCTGTGAGACCATGGGCAAGATTCTCTTTGATCTTCTTTAAAAGAGGGATCTGGGAGTTAAATGACATAATGTATGTAAAGTACAATGTCTGGCCCATAGTAACAGTCAGCTTTTCTTTTTTTACTCATTGACCTGGCGTGAGCCTTGGCAAATGAGAATAACAAAGCTTACAGCAAAGCTGTGATCTCAGTGGCCACTTACTTCAAATGAATCTCATAAAACTTCGGGCCTGTTAGAAACAGAGACATTTATCAAAGGTTTTGAGAGTGTCCCTATTTTTGGTACACTATAAGAAGTGATAGGACCTAATTTGAAATCATCAGTTGATAATGAAAAAAAAAATGGAATTTTGTTGAATGGGATTTACCTAAAAATAAGCTTTTATGAATATGTTTTTAGTACTATTTTTCTAGGCTTTGTTTTAAAAATACATCTTTTTTTCCTCAAAATTCCAACAGTTGACCTTGACTTTCCAGAATTGGAATACATTTTTCCAAACTTGCATCGTCAGCTGTTTAAACCCTTAGAACCACAGCCAGATTTTGATTTATCATCATTGTCCTCTGGGATTTCTCAAGAGAGCAGAGACTTTTACCAGGTGTGTTAAAGTAGATGCTTCATTACACTGAATATCCAAGAGCAGTGTGTCTGATTTTCTTTTATGGTGGTTAATCATGGTTGCCAAGTAGAATCATGTGGAAAGATTTTACAAATTCCAGCGCCCAGACTGTACCCGCAGGCCCATTAAATCAGAATCTCTAGGAGTGCTCAGATATCAGGATTTTTTTTAAAGCTCCCCATGTGATTCTAACATAGAACCAAGATTGAAAATAGCTGCATTAAAATTTTGTTCTATCAGCCTTATTTCCATCTAGTGAATATGACACATAAAAGGCTTGAGAATATTTTTATATTTATTTACTTTGATGGAATTCAGCCTTAAAAAGTTCAGGTGATTATAAGTTTGCAGTATTTAAAAAGTGTCTTCTTACCCACTAAAGGAGCTAAGATGCAAAACTGGGTCTTTTTATTTCTGCATCCTGATATCCAAGCTGCCATACATAATTCCTGCTTATCAGAAAATGATTTCATTGTGTTCTAAACTCAATCTGTGTATTTCATAATTTGTTTTCTAAATAATCTTTTTAAAAAAATGTTTCATATTAATTCAAATGGAAGAAGCAGGTTTGAATAAGCAAATCATTAGTGTGATAGTAAAGTGGCAATCAAAGAAAAGTAATATCAAAGGAACATGATTAACCTGTAATACATAATCAACATTTCAGCATTTCCCTGTTGTTTCCCATCAGAGCTCAGACGCTTCATGCGAAAGCCACGGTGCAACGGTATCCTCCAAAAGCACAGTATCTCTTACAGCACTGAGGTCCAGCCTGCATTCTCCTCTTAACATAAGCCTGAATCAGCAACCTGACCCTAAGTTGCCGCACACTACAGCTGAGAATTTGGGCACAGAAAAAGTTACTGAGGGTATGTATGATTAAGTTAGAAAAAATTAAAACCCAATACTTTTTTCTTTTGATTGTTTACATTCATTTTTCTTAGAAATTGTGCCTAGTAGGTCCTGGTTTGTCTCCGTTACTGTCTTTACTTCTGCTCCCAGTGTTACAAGTTCTGCGTCTTTGTGTATTCAGTTAAATAAAAGAGGTAATAATGTATGTTCACTTTGCAATTTTCACACTAGTGAACTTAATAAAATAAAAAAGTGATGCCTCTTGCTCAGCTTCCCTTCCTCAGCCCTTGGAGTCAACAGTTTAAGTATCTTTCTAAAACATTTTGTACTCATTTTATATATACATAAATACACACACACACACATATGCACACAAGATACACGTGTACGTTTTAACCTAAGTCTTTTGGCTGTTCCAACAAAATCAGTATTTGGTTATCTCATGAGGGAAAATGACCTAGTGTCTAATAGCCATAGTTATTATTAAATAATATCAGAAGACAATACATGGTGTAAGCAGTAGTTATTTGGAAATCACTGTGACCTTTAGCTTTCTATTCATGTTTATATACATCCAACTTTTCTAAAATTGTAGGAACCTTTGCAATTTACTCAAAGTATTAGGGACTGTGTCTGTATCCACGTTTTATAACATGATGACTAACTGATTTCTTAAACTTTTTATTGGAGGATCTGAACAATCTTTTCAACAGCTTCTGCCAGAATTTTCTTCACAAGAAGGGAGCCAGCATGCTGATCTACCAAGTATTTTTAGCATTGAAGCAAGAGATTTTCCCCAGGGCATGGAAAATCAGAACTACCCCCCTGAACCAACTGAAATATTACAAAATAAAGGAAAAAGTGTCCATTTCCAGCTCTCTGTAGGAAATTTGCAGAGTTCAGTCTTCAGTTCATCTGCTGAGGCTAATGAATTTCATCAGTTAAATTTACAGCATAGCACTCCATGTGATTCTACTTACAGTGAGTGCTCAGTGAAAGACCGGTTAGAAGGCAGAACAGAAAGAACGGGCTTCGAAGAATTATCAGAAAGAGGATTTGATAAAGTGTTACAAAGTCAAGGACTCACTGAAGAGGATAAAAACGAAACCTGGGGAGTTTTAAATGTAAATCCACATGTACAAGAAATTGACTCACAATTATGTGTAAGAACAGTAGAGATGGGAACTTCAGATCAGATACCATATTCATTAACTGTTCAGAATGAAAAATATTTTGAGAACTCAACTAAAGCAGAAACTCCACAGATCATACCAAAGCCATCTCAGCCATCACAGTCAGAGCTCTTTTTCGGTTCTGGATCATTTTCACTACAGACCTCTATTCCAGTCTGGGTGAGTGAAGTCTGTGTTGTGTAAATAGCATTTAGATTGGTTTTCCAGAAAAACTTTTTAAAACTAATACTGTGTTTTTATTAAGACACTGGTCAAAAACTCATACAATTACTCACACATACAGTTAAGTATGCATGTTATCAATTTGACTAATTACTGATTGAGTAGAAATAAAATACAGTTTCCAAGCCAGCAAAGAAATATTAAAATACAGAAAATATTTTTAATTCCAAGGCAGAAAAGGAGGGCAAAATAATACCCAAAAACAACACAAATAAGCAAGAGAGCACAAAAAGTCCAAATCCAGGAGGACTTAACAAATTTCAAGAGAAATGGCAAAACTACTTGTTAGTGTACCTAACTGAAAGTCAGTCTCAATCATTAGAAGCCTCCAAATGTTGAAGATCTCTGAGTTTTACATAAGATTTTCCTCCCAGTTTACATATCCCTTCTCAGCTGCCCTGACGGATGGTGGCCGGCCTGTGCCTCAGCACTGTCAGCGTTAAGCCTCATTGCACTGCATTCAATTAATCGTGATTTTCAACCTTTTTCATCTCATGGTGCACACAACCGAATTACTGAAGTTCTGCTGGCACACTAAAATACAGATTTTTTGCTTATGTGACCAAAGAAAGATGTATTTTTATTCATTCACACTGGATGGCTATTGCGTTAGCTGTTGTCACTTTATTTGAAGAGCTAAAGGGAAAGAGGCTAGTGCTCCTGGCTAAAAAGTCAGGTATTGCATTTAAAAATTCTTGGGACAGACCAGTATGCCACAGCACTCTAGCTGAAAATCGTAACCTCATCTGATTTCAACTCATCACCCAAATGTAGTATTGTCCTTTCACATTTAAGCATAATAGAAACTAAGGCCAACATCTAGGTCACAGATTTGCCTTTTGGATGTTTTTGTAAATTCTTGTTCAATGTTTAAAAGATGCTATTTCCCTTAAAAAAAAAATTATTCTGGCAGCAGTGGCCTAACTTGGCTGCAATCAGACAGGCTACAGCCTCTGGTTCTCCGGTCCCCAGTTAACCTGCATGTATCTGTCTAGCTCTACAGTCTTTTGTCTGTAATCCTTACAGAAGATATTTTAAGACAGCTATCATATAATTTCTCCCATCCCTAAGTCCTCTCCTGTATTTCTAAAAGTGGAGGTGCACTGCCTTGTTGTTTTCCTTCCTCCAATAACAATTATTTTCACATCTTGGATGTTTAAAGGCTATTATTTTGGGGGCATGATGTCCTTTTCAATTTTGCTGCACAGGAGACAGAGTCTGGCCATGGTATAATGGAGGAACCAGAACTTACGTTAGTAAGCACCAGTGATGTCAGTATTGCTGAAATGGATTTTGCAAACCTAACCCTAGAAGAGAGAGAGAATGAGGCAGAAAGTTTACAGGTAAGTATCATAGCTCTCAATATAGGTACACTTCATTTATACAGTAACCCGTAGCTGAGAATTGGGAAACAGAAAGGAACACTGGTTTTTCACTTTTTTCTCCATGTTATTTCCATTAGAATTATTTGCAAATTAATTTCTTTCCCCATATTGTGGTTTAGTATGAGGGTAGTCAACTGTACAGTGAACAGCGTAATATGCTTACAGCAGGCACTTGACAGCTGACTGGAAATGGAAAAACATCTCAACCACTGAACAGTTTTGTAGCATGCAATGGCCCTAAATATAAGTACACTTGTGTAACTTGAAGCCAAAACTCGTTTCACATGCTGGGGAGCGAGATTTCAAATGCTCCTCCTACATGTATTTCTGATGCTATAGATTTCCTTCAGACTTAGGTTGTAAGGAACTCTTGACTCCCCCTTACCCAATGAAAGCTACTTTGTTCCAAAGCAATGAAAGGCAGCAGGGGTGCTCCGGAAGTTAGGGAATGCTTCTGAGGTGGATATAGAGTTGTAGAGTTAGTGCCCTTACTTTAGTTTATGCTGAAAGTAACAATGTTTCAAGTTCTACTGACTGGCTCATAATTTCATTAACTTAGTAAGGGTTCCAGGGTATAGGTGAGTTTGATTATATCCAAGTCTATGTCCTGATACCAAATTGGAATGGACTTCACCTCTAAGATACTCACAAATAATCAGGTGAAGAAAAACCAAAAGCTTTCGGCTAGGGTGAGATCGGGAAGTAACTGTAGTGCAGCTGATCAGATAAAACATTTTAAATGTTAATGAACTTCCAGGTCCTATAGCTGCTGGACCTGGATTTGACTGTATCTTAGAACCTTTGCTGTACATTGATTTCAAAGTGTTTCATCTGACTCTTGCAATTAGGTTGGTGGATTTCTGCCTCCTGAATCAGAAACAGAAAATTCAGATTATCCAGCTCCATCAGAACATTTTGTGGAGAAGCCAACTACAGCAACCTCAGGTAAGCCTTCAGCATCGGAAATGGTCGCAAACCCAAGGACTAGTGGGAGTTTGCGACTCACGTTCTCAGCTTCCAATCTTGCTACAGGCCTATGAAATCTAATGAGGTAAAAAGTTGTTTTTTTTTTTTAACAGAAACTCTTCCAAAGTTTACACCTGTACCAGGAAGCTTACAAGAAGCATTTGTAAAACGAAAAAAATCATTTATACAGAGATCCTGCCAGAGACAGAAAGAAATAAGGAATAAAAGACAAGTCTCCAAAAATTCTGAAAGCCATGTAATCAAGAGGAAATCTGCAGGTATGTTTCCAAAACATTTTTATCAGTTTTCAGAAAAGGAATCTTGTTTGCCCAGCAAATTACTTGTTCTCTGCTCAGGTTCATCGGCAACTCACCTAAAGGGTGTGAGCAAAGTTAGAGTGTCACTTCCTGAAGACAGAAAGACTGCACAAGCCCTCATGCAGCAAAGGGCTCTAAGGTATATGTATGTACTTATGTATGAGTAAGTCACATTTTTGAAATATTTGTCTTTAATCCCATGCAAATATCTTACAGATTATACAATCAGTTAGCTGAAGTAAAACAGCAAAAGGAAGAAAAAGCAAAGCAAGATGCTTATGCCCAAAACAGAGCAAGGGCAAAAGAATTTCATAAGGTGAGCTGTTGGCAAGTGGGTTTTCATGTCAAGGCACACCACAAACTAAAACTGCTGAATTTTATTTTTATTCCCTCCACAGAAAACACTGGAGAAACTTCGAGCCAAAAATACATGCTGACTTTGTACAAAAAGTGTAAAGGTTTTTTGTTTTTTTTTTAATAAGTTATCTGTAACATAAGCACAGTTTGAAATTAATAAATTTTTATTTAAGGAATTTCATGCTCTGAGTCCTTGGTTCCTCATGTGGTTGAGTCTTAATCCCTAAAAAAATAAGAGCAGACGGTGGTTAAAAACTTGGGGAACATTTCCTTTCCCACATCACCAATCATTGATATAAGTAGGTTAATTTTGTATCTCCTCAGGAAACCATAGCACTACTGAGTGTCTATCACATCCTGTAGAGAATTTCAATCTTAGGTCACAGCGTTAAGAGCTCCTGGTTTTGATTCCATAAGCTCTCTTTGAAATGACCTATAAATTAATCATCTTTTTCTAATGTGTGCATACCTTTTTTGTTTAATCCAGGCGGTTGCCACGACAGTTGGTCCTAAAAATAGGAAGAGATGATCATGCGATGACGAAACACTTGGTTGCTAGCAGTCTGCAAGGATTAGCTTAGACAAAAATCTCACTGATTACCAATGGCTATTATAAAATAACATACAGCTTGTGTTACGGTTTTATTGGATAGTGCTGATCTAGGCAATGAAAATAAGTAACGGTAGTAAAATGTTCCCAATAGGCTGAATGCTAGCAAGGTAGCAGAAAGAAAACCTAGAGGGAAAATGTTTTGTGGTCATGTCCACGGCAAATGAGAAACTGCATTCTAAAAGCCTTGGTAATGACCATTGCCCTTTGAAACAAATCATTTCATATGGTAACATAAAAAAAACCAGTAACTTGCCCCAATTCTTTTAGTTGAGCTTCTTTGATCTCCACTTGTACATGGACATACTTCAAAAACTCCCCACCTGGAGAAAAAATTTTAAAGTTCACATTGGACCAAATTTTTTGAAATGGGGTTGATTAGGATCCTGAAAACCAGTTCCCAACTAGCATGTATTGAAAATTCAAGCTTAAAACTGCAAACAGATGGAATAAGCATCTTTTCAATTCAGTTCATTTAAACTAAATATTGGTAACAAACTTTAAAATTAAGGTTTAATGAATCCATTTCCATTCACAACTGAACTCATATGAAATGAATTCTGATCATTAACTAACTGCAAAGGCAGCTATTTGGAAATGTGCGTATTTCAGGGAACTTTTACCTTGAAGCTTTCATGTTTTAAAATATGGCATATATTTAATGTAGATGGATGTTCAGATGGCTATTTTCATTCAGCCCATTCAGAGCAGTTGAACATTTTCCCCATCATCATAACATCAGTAGAAGCACATGGTGGCCTTTTTAACACCTAGTCTTTTTTTGTGGTAATAATAAACCACAAGGACGGGCAGGCTACTCTAAGATTTAAATAAATGCCAAGGACTTTAACACTTAAGTTTTATAAAGGGAGTTGTCTCCTACAAACTAGGAAGGAATTTGAAGGAAATTAAAATCTTACCTGTAATTGTTGGGGCCAAGTTTCCTCAAGCAACTTACTTTAGGACCCTAGAAGTCAAATAGTAAGAAGTATATTGTTATAATTTAGCAGGTGATGAAAGATATATTGAAAAGTGTTTATTACATCCAGTTTTTACTCAACTGAGCCTAGCAAAAAATGTTACAGGTCTCATTGTCACCACTGCAATAAAATCACTGTGATGAAAGCAAAACCTGTGTCTCAATGTAGCCACATTAACAATTTCTGGACACATGTACAAAAACAGTGCCCATTTTCATCTAGAATGAGGCTTCATAAAAGTTTCTCTCAATCTTATACATACACTATGCAAAAGGCTTCTGCATTTGTACAGAAGTTCCTGCTGACACATGCTATCGATAAAGGGAAGAAGCTCCTAGAAGTAACAGAAATAGAAATCAAAAAGCCTTACACAGTCAGAATAGATAGGTCTGCCAGGTTTCTCAATTTCAGACCCTAGAAAAAGAGAAGCATTAGCTCCTACTGAAGTTAGGTTGAACTGAACAGTAAGAGACAACAGGAATACTGTATCAATACATACCAGGTTTAACATGCACAAAGCCAAGAAAACCAACGATGCCAAATACTGAATTTATATTGCACTGTCCTTTGAACACCCAGCAGAAATAAACTGCTGAATGCAGATACCATGCAGTGCAATTGTGACAAAACTATTACAAACACTTCTACTTGAAATATCTGAGGAATAAATCTCTAATTGTGAAAAAGTCCTAATTCCTAATTGTCATTTCAGTAAAGAAACCACATTAATGCGTTGAAATTACAAACCTAATCACTATTATCTTTATCACGTGTCTGCACTGGAAGTAAAGATCACACTTGTTCCCACTATTTTTATTAGGAGGAATTCCTCTGCCATTTTAACATATCCATGTCTACATGTTATTAAGATGAACCAGATGGAACTATCAGTGCAAAAAGGGGACATTATTTGGTAGCCCTAGATAGGCAGTCTCTTCATTTTTTCCAATTCTGTATATAAATACAATCATGGCAAATATTTTCACCAAGATGTTGACAATTGTTTTATATCTAAACCACTATTCATCAAAACAGTAATGCAATGCTGTGCAGAGGTCCTTGAATGTCATCCTTTTGTTCAATGCTATGTTACAAAGTTGAGATGCCACAGGAACTTTTCTCATTTATGTATCAATTAGCCTGTGGTCAAACTGGCTTCCTTTTATATCATTTTTGCTTTAAGTCACAGAACCTATTGACAGGGTTAAGTGAGGACTTACTCTATTCACAATTTGCATTTTTTCACAACTTTGAATCTCTAACAAATAGGAATTAAATGTTCCACTTACCTCTAAACACGAGTAAGTTCTTACCACAGTCCTACAAATAAAACACCCAATAAAAAAGGTTGACAAGTATGTGATTAAAAACTAAAACCTACAGAGTTATACATAGCTGTCAGAATTACATTTTAGTTCATATCTGTATCATTCAGCAGTTGAACAGTTAAATTCATCATCTGAATTGCAGAGGTACCCTAAGTTTACATTGCCACCAAAAACTTACCTAAGCTACCACTCCCTAGAATAGTACAGATCTCCAGGATATACAAAAACCTAAGGTAAAAAAAAAAAATTAGTTAGGATCTTTCCTAATTTTAGCAGCTGTCTTGTAGTTCCTTCCCACAGATCTAACACATAGCTCTGTGAATAAAGGAAGCAACATATTTACTCTATGAGGCGTTTCCAACGATGTAGGTCTACAGAAAAAGCCCCATCGGGATAGACCTCAACCATTATTTACACTTTCAAAAGACACAAACAAATCTAAGACTCTACAGGAAGACATTAACTAGGACTGATCTGCTCAAGCCATTTCAAGTTCAAAACTATGTAAAAATAGTCAAACATTCTCCCATTTACAAATAAGACTTAACTGTATTAAATTTAAGGAAATCATACCATGAAATCAATCACTTAAGGATTTTAACACAGCTTATAAGAGTATATACTGACTAAAAAAAAAAAAAAAGCAAAATGCCAAATAGCTGTTCTAGATAATCCATAATCCAAAGAAAAAATATCCATGTATAAAATGGAAGTCTTGATTTTTATGAACTTATGCAATGATAATGCAATATTTTTGCCTATGAAATTCCCAGATTACATGGCAAAAGATTTAACTAAATTTACAAAATACAAAGTATCTTTAGCTACCTGGTATCAAAAATAATATAGAAAAAATTATAATGTGGCTATATGTATGTTCTTACCATTTGAGAACTTTATACTATCCAAACTTACGAAATCTTGTGTCCTGTGTAGTCATTGCTAGTATTACAGTATTAAACCTACCTGATTTTAGATATGTGTTAACTAAAAATGTTTTATGTGTAAATGTCCAAAATTCTGATTATTGGCATAGCCCAAATGACAGTTCTAGGACACTTTCCTGTAAGTGAAGCTGGCAGTGTAACTAATAATGTTTCCTAAGATTCATTTTCTGAAATGTCATAAGCAGAAATTGAAAGCTGGCAGAAAGTCTCTTAATGACGAAACCTGTGAAGGTTTAGATTATCTGACAGTGTGCTACATTTGAACAAATCTGGTCTAAAAACTCACCTAACAAATAAGACGTACCTTTAAGTCCAAACGTTGTGTTTTCAACATAAAGCCCTAATTAAAAAAAAAAGTCATCTTTGTTTCATATCAACATTAAAATTAGAGTATTAAATCAGTACAGTTGAGATTTCCCTTATGCCCACCCTATGCTTTTTAAGTATCAACTTTATGGTCCTGGAACCAGTATTTTTTTATGAATGCCCTAGAACCAATATTTTTTTTTAATCAATGCCCTGCCACTTTAATCTGTTTTAGGTATCTTGTTCCTTCTCGTATGTATCAAAACTCATACTGACAATGAGTTCTGGGTTGCAAAAGAGGATTTATTTTTCGCACCTGTATGTAGTTTTTGCCCACAAATTAAGCAAAAACAAACACAAGTGCTACTGTAAAATGCAATTTATAAAGCAGTGTAACTGGTAACATACAGTGGTGACAAAAGATAATAACATTCTAGGCTGTTGAGAAGGGGGAATCAAGTTCTTATCAGTACTAAATATGACACTGATGTTCACTTTTTTCTCAATCAAACTACAGTAGGGGGTTTCAGATATACTAAGGATAAGTGGTTGTCAGTTACTAGTGATACCGTCACTAATACTTTTTAGGACTACAATCTCTATCCTTTAATGCTTGAATGATACCTTTAAGCTCCTTAAAGTAAATATAGTAAATATAGGCAAAAACAGTAGGACCCTTTTAATCATTTTACAAGACACTATTTCTGCTACGAAAGCCTCCATTTTCTGTACATACATCATTTCACTTTTAAAATGTTCTCTAAAAAGTACTTCTTATTCTTTAGCCGTTTCACAAACTTGTTTAGAAATTACTTTCCCCTTAGAAGTTCGAGATTTTTTAAAAAGTTACTGGGCTAGCATTATAATCACATCATCTTTTACTTTCTGTGAAGTTTCTTTTTCTCTAGCCTTTGTACCTTGTTATTCATATTCCTATCTCCTTTTGAGGCTGTTCTGTCTTCTGTCCAGTGTTTTTGCACTTTGATACTCTCTTTTTAGACAAAGCAGCTTCTTCAGTATATTCTTGTTCTAAATATACATTCATCTTCTTTGGTAACTCAGAGCTCAGTATGAAGTAATTATTCTCCTGCACAAAATATACCAACATTAAGCAATAACTAAAACTTTATTGCTCTAGTAATTACACAAAACTGAACTCTACTAGGTGATTTCATCCTGGCTGTTAAAAATTCAATTCTGCTTTTATCCTCACATTCAATATCCTAGTAGCAATGCTACATATAAAACTTAGTACTGAAAAGTGTCTGTCCCACTCAACTATCCCCAAAATATATATAATTTTTTTATTTTCACACCAAACAACTTCAAGCCTCTCAAAAATTAAATACAGACTCTAAGACAATACCTACTGGATAAAATTATTCCTCTACCAACTACTGCCCTCCAGAAAGGAAATGGGATAAAAATGCCACTTACCACCAATTTGATATCACATTCATCATGTTCAAGGTTTGCTGCAACCTCATCCTCTCCTCTGTAATATTAAATATATCACCACTCAGATGACTAAATCTCCTATAACCCAACTGGTACTATATGTTCATGACATACAAGTGAACAGCAATACTAGTCAAGGAGAAAAACTACATTGTAATGTGTAACACCCAAAATTGGCTCTTGTGGAACAAACTCACAGCTCAACTCAAATGGCCTAAACATCTTTGCTCCCATCAAAAATCAATAGGATATGGATAAATTAACATTATAATTTAAAAACATCTAATTTGCTAAAACCTATGACCAAAATTTGACATAGTTAACTTACAGTGGGTCTTCAATAGGAGAGAGAGATCCGTCGTCATCCAAATATTTGTATCTACGACTATCAAGGTCATCTTTCTCTAAATCTTCACCAACGTTCATCTGCTTCAAGGATTCCTTGAGGTGGTATTCATACTTCAGTTTTTCAAGGTGATTGAAAAATCCTCTTGCCACTGCTTGCTATATATCATAAAAATTATCAAGTCGTCACCTTACAAAATAAAAATTTCTTCCATTCCCTTAGCAGATGCTTATGTTCTAATATGGCAAGGATCCCCTTATCAAGAACTCGTAGTGTACTTGATCTACCCACTTTACCACATGCAGCTCAGATATGATACACATCAAATGCTGGTTGTAAAAAGAATTCACTGCTGCCCAGCAAGTTATCAAAGTTACTGAATTTGGTATAAAACCAAGCACAAATCTTGTTTTTGGGCATTAAAAAATTCTGATGTTTATTATATAATCACTTTAAAACATAACTTAAATCACCTTAAAACATAATTATTAATCTCCTCAAAAGATTCTAAATCAAGGAATTATATACCAACAGTGCAAACATTAATTCAATATAGACTTCCAGTCAAGATAGCGATATCAGTAAACAGGGCTTGCCTCCTTGTCCATCAAAATTACAACTAACTAGAGCAACCATCATTCAGAACTCAGAAACTGAGTGGAATGGAAGCCTGCCAACTACTGAATTAAACAACCCCCCCGCCCCCCATTTAGACTGTAGGGGGAACACAGATGTGGAATGGGCTGGTCTTTCATCACCCAGGCGTGGTGGATCAAAATTCAGGAATAACTCAGGAGCAAGGAGTCCCAGCCCTACACCAGGTCCCCAGCCCAGGGTTCCAACGCCAGGAATGTATCCCCATAACTTCTGGCCCCAAAAACTAGTGGGGACTAAAGCAGAAGAGACTGCTGGAGTCCCAAGCAATTCCTCTTCAAGAACCCACACAGGGACATACTCAGATTCACTCCCTCTGAGCTCCAGAGCAGCAGCTTGAAAGGCACCAGTGGCATACATGGAGGAACTCAAGTGTCTGGCATCAAGGCAAGAAGTGGGGAACAGCTTTCTCCCACACGGAAAGGTGAGCAGAGGCCACTGTACCTTTTGTGAACCTCCCCAGAGCCGGCAGGTCAGTACCATCTGAGACTCCCTCAACCTGGCTAACACTGTCTGCCCCACCCTGGCAGTTTGGGGAGAGAGACTGTCCCACCCAACTCAGGGGCCCACCTAAGCTGTTAACATAGACTCTTCCATATGATTCTGATGTTTATCATATGGCTGGTCTTGGCTTATGCTTCACATCTTCCGAAATCCTCTCAAACAAGCAACAGCCAGCCTTAGTAAGACCCCAGGAACTCTTCCCTGGACCTCTTGCTAAGTGGCCCAGCACTAGCAGCAGCCAGCCTTGATTCACAGATTGGCTTTTCCTGGGAGTCTCCAAGCCCAGCACAAGTAGCAATGATCTTAGATTGCTTTGTTTCTCATGCTGGGGGGCCCTGGGCAAAAGAAAGGTGGAGGCTGACCCTGGCCTGCACCACCTGGGAAACTTGAGAACCTGCACATTTAGTGGACAGCTCCAGACCACATCAGAGCACCACCACCCTGACCCTGCACAGCAGATCCTCCACCGAGGGTGGAACTTGGTGATCAGTGGTCACAGCCAGTCCTTCCAGCTGTGACCACTGATCAATGTAAATTGCTCCCATTGACCTGCCAACTGTAATCCAGGCTCAAACGAACCTGGATTACTAAGTGGAGAGTGTACTAAGCCCAAACGAAGGGCGTACTTCAAGTACCAAGCTTGGGTCATAGGCCAGGCTGTGCCACTGGACCCTAGAAGACACCTACTTCATTAGGTTACACCACCAAAACAGGGAGTCACAGCAGCTCTACCTAATACATAGAAACCAACACAGGGAGGCTGCCAAAATGAGGAAACAAAGAAACATGGCTCAAATGAAAGAACAGATCAAAACTCCAAAAAAGAACTAAACAAAATGGAGGTAAGCAATCAATCAGATGTACAGTTCAAAACACTGGTTGAAGGATGCTCAAGGAACTTACTGAGGACCTCTATAGCATAAAAAAGATCCTGTCAGTACCAGATACAATAATTGAACCAAGGAACAATTTATAGGGAGACAGCAGTCGAGTAGCTGAAGTTGAGAATCAAATAAATGATTTGGAACATAACGAAGAGAAAAACAGCCAACCAGAACAAGGAAAAAAAAACCCCACCAAAACACGGAGGATAGTGTAGCAGCCCGTGGGACAACTTCAAGAGGTCTTACTGCCTTACAGGAGTGCCAGAAGAAGAGAAAGAACAAGAAATTGGTAATCTATTTGAAAAAATGATGAAGGAAAACTCCCCCAATTTGGGGAAGGAAATAAAACATGCAAGTCCAGGAAGCTCAGTCTCAAACAAGATGACATAAAGAGGCCCACTCCAAGACACATCATAATTAAAATGCCAAAGGTTAAAGATGGAATCTTAAAAGCAGCAAGAGAACAGCAGTTAGTTACCTACAGGGGATTCCCATAAGACTGTCAGTGGACTTCTCAATAGAAACTTTGCAGGCTAAAAGGGATTGGCAAGAAATATTCAGTCATGAAAAGCAGAGACCTACAGCCAAGATTGTTCTACCCAACAAAGCTATCACTTGGAATCGAAGGGCAGATAACGACCTTTCCAGACAAGAAAAACTAAAGGAATTCAATCATCACCAAATCATTACTATAGGAAATATTAAAGGGACCTATTTAAGAAAAAGAGCAAAACTATGAACATTATCAACAGCTGAATCTAAAAAAACTAAGCAAACAAGAACAGAGACAGAGTGTTTTGATGGTTGCCAGATGGGAGGGGATTGTCGGGGAATGGATGTAGTGAGGGGGTTAAGAAGTACAAATTAGTTACAGAATTGCCATGGGGATGTAAAGTGCAGTAGAGAAAAGGAATTAGCCAAAGAATTTATACACATGACCCATGGACATGAACAATGATGTGTGGATTGCCCGAGGGAGTGAGTGGTGCTGAGTGGAGAGGGGCAAGGGGAAAAAATTAGGACAATTATAATAGCATCATCAATGAAAATAAACATTAACTTGAATACCTCAGAGCATACTGCTAAGTACCACACATGTATCGGGCCACCAGTCAGAAATAGAATACTCAATCTCTAAGAAATGCAATCTATTCAAGTTACTAAACATGAAAGGAGTTGTGGGTTTGATTTAGGTTACAGTTAGTAATCACTCAAGTTTCAGGGATGATGTTAATAAAAACCTGACAGGATGAAATCAAGGGACTTTATTTAAGTATCCTCGGAGCACTTCATATAGCAGTATAAGTCACTGAATACACATACGATGATTTTACCCTATAGTCCAAGTGCAGTATGTATTAGCTGAAGGATTAGGTGGTGAGTCAGGCAAACCTAATTCTAAGTGACCAAGAAACCATTTCAGGCACTTTAGCTATGGTACCCACATATACTGACTCACCTCAAATGTTAAAATTTTTTTCCAAGGTAATGGTTTTCTTCCATTCTCTGATTCTAAAAACGGAACCTGGGGTCTGTTATCTTTCAATTGTTTCTTACTTATTTGTGACCTAGTGCTTTTACTTCCTTCTGGTCTTCCCCTTGGTCTTCCTGTTGGCTTATATTTCCTCTTTTTACGTTTCTTTTTCTTGACTCTTTCAAAAATAGCTTTCAAAGTCAATGGTCTTGGTTCTAATGATGAGTCACTGGATGAATCTCTTGCTTGTACACTATCAAGTGAACTAACACATTTTTTAACAGGATTTCTTTGCTTCCTTTTAGGTGAGTAAGGAACACATTGAGTTTTAAATAAGCTGCTACCAGAGGAAGAATTATCACTAGAAAAAAAAGGGGAAAAATTATTTGTTTCCATTGTTATATAACTGAATGCTATTTTTTACCAGTAATGTACTTTCCTTCCACAGACCAATGCAGAAAAACATCCTGAGGATTAACTTTTTAAAAGATGGGCTCAGTGCTAGTGAACTAGTTCTGACCTGGTCATTCCACCTAAAATGGCCCAAAATGCCACAGCACCTACCAAATCATCCTCTGAGAGAAATACAAGTCCAACACACTGTATTCACTACTAGAGGTTCCTCTAAATAAAACAAAGCCTCCTCTAAATAAAACCAGAGATGCCTAATAGATATTTGATGTGAATATACTAGAAATACTGATTTGGTATTACAGTGAGATCGATGGATAAGGTAAGGAGTTATCTCCATCACATACATAACCCAGCATTCTTGATAATGTGCAATTTCAGACTAAGTTGAATTTTAAGCAAGAGTTCATGCTGATGTCCCTTTTTTTGGTTATAAAATTAGGGCAATTTAGTCAAGATGAGACACCAAGCTGGCCCAGAAAAAAATACTCCGTTTTCCTAGGTTAAGAATGTGTCTCCCTGTTAACTATACAAGTAGATAAACTCTGATGGTCTATGTAATGCAGGTTTTTCTTTCCTAATCTTTGGAAATTACCTTTACCACCACTCACTATCTACAATGACTTTGTTTTCCTAGTAATTTAAATACAGTGAACATTACATTCGAATCTAGTGTTTTCTAGTAAAAATCTGATGGTTCCTGTTGATAAACCAAACAAAAGCAACTTACCTTTGATTTTCAATTTCCATAGCTGTATCAGAAGCTGTTATATAGTCCAGAGAATCCACTGGTGATAGGTAGTCTCCAAGTCCTTCTTAAAACTTATCCATCACTTGTTCTTTGCTTTCACCAAATTTCTGACAACATATAATACAGTGCACATGTAGTTTTCCCTGAACAAATAACTGTCACCACAAACAGCTAGTATCCAAGCAATGCAAAAGTTGATGTAGAAGTTATGGCACTATATGTAAGTTAAGGCACAATCACTTACAAGGCCTTTAATATTTTCATGTAGGAACCATCTATTTTAGAACAAACCAAAAATCTAGAAATTTTACTGCGACGTTCCATCTTTCTGTTGTGCCTCTAAAGCTATACAGTGGAGCAAGATTCTACAAAAGTAATGTTATTTCCCCTGCAAAATATCAAGCTTTACATGACAGTAAAAAATATCATTTAAAACTTTTTATTATCAGCCATATAGTCATGTGCAATTACAAGTATTAATGTACCATTTTCCAAAAGCAGATGGGAATTCCTAGAAAAAGTTTACATATGAAGTCAGAAGGTAGAGCATGGCTTCAGTATACCAGGAAATATAATCATTTACTATCTCAACCCAACACATCATTTTAAAATTCCTGGTCGAGGATTTTCATTTATGGCGTTTCCCCATTCATACTATAATTCAACAAAATCAATGTGAAACCTTTTTTGGCATATCTCTTTGTCATTATGAATACTGATTTAAAATTTCTGAATTCTCAAACTTCAATGAAAGGCTATCAGACTACAACAATAATGGCCTTCATCTTTCTTTTTTAAAAAACTCCTTAAATATTTTACAACAGTTTGGGCAAAATTTCAAATAAAAATAAATATGACATCTTAATTTAAAACTGTACCTTCCTTATAGAGGTCATCATTCTTCAATTTTTGTATTGTTTATAGTGTTTAATACACTTACGAATGACCAACGAATACAGATGAAAGAAATCTTAGAATTTAACAGCAAAATATTTCAAATATACAAAATCAGTGAGGTCATACAGATCTTACATTCTAAAAATGTCCAATGGACTCGCGTGGAAATTTCATGGTTTTGCTGCAGTTTTGTTAAGGCAAAAACCAAACTATGTCATAAAATGCTCAGAAACGGAATTCAGCAAAATTGGGTTAACTGGCAGTGGTGGTTATTTGAGGTTAAGTCTTTTAAAAAATATTATCAGAAGATTACCAGAATAAAGTGTAGTTAACTAAAAAAAAAAATCGCTTTTCAGGTGATTTAGAGAGCATTCCGACCTACGTACCCCTTCCAATTCGAGATTCTGCAAGGCCACGTGGCCAGATAGTGCACTTTACCAGCGCTAACAATACGTCTCTGGCCACTTACTGTGACCGTGGTGCGACCGACTCTAAGAAGCACCTACCCTCATGATGAGAAAATGGCCTAATTGCTACCTCATACTTATTAAATCAGAACGCCTGTCCTGGTCTGTAATACGTACAATTAAGACACACTGGATCACCCCCGCACTATCATCGTTTCATGTGTGGGTCGCAGTCCAGCACTAGACCCGAAGCCCACAACTGCAAGCCCTCCATCCTCAGGGCCCGACTTCTTTAGCTTGAACCTCCCGAGCAACGCGAGTGTCCCAAGAAAAGTTAGAAGCACAACCTCCCACATCCACCAGGCCTGGGTGGCCTTGTTCTCTTCTCCCTTACTTATCCAAGTCAGCACAGCACTTGCACCAGCTATTGCTGGCTCAGTACCGGCCTTACCTGCGTACTCGCCGCCACCAACCCAAACCTTAGAGGTTTGCACCCAGCAACCCCCCGACCTCAGCACTCCAACGGGAAACAACCGCCTACCTCTACAACTGCGCGGAAGAAAAAGGACAGAACCAACCGCGCGACCCAGCTAATAGCGGAGCCAAAATCTCGCGATAACAATTTCGCTAAGGAACAAACGTGAGAAGCAGGAGTACGAGGGCGCCATTTTGGTCTCCACGGTGGGAAGAGCAAGTCAAGGTGGGCGGAGCCTGACTCCTAACCCAGAGGAGGCGGAGTTCACGGAGGCAGGGTTCAGAGGCCTTCTTTCCTAACCTGTTAGGTAAGTGCTATGGCCAAAAACATTTTAGCAAATGACAAAAAGAAATTTTGTTTAAGCCCTATCGGTCTTAAACAAAAGTTCATATATAAAATTACAAATTTCAAGATGAGCCCTGGCTGGTGTGGCTCTGTGGATTGAGTGCTGGTCTGTGAACCAAAGGGTCACTGGTTTGAGTCCCAGTCAGGGCACATGCTTGGGTGGTGGGCCAGATCTCCAGTAAGGGGCATGTGAGAAGCAACCACGCATTGATGTTTCTCTCCCTTTCCTTCTCCCTCCCTCCCTTCCTCTCTCTCTAAAAAAATAAATAACTAAAAAAATAAAGTTAAAAGAAAGAAAGAAAGAAACCTGTGACTTGGGAAAAGTTAAAAGGAAACTATTTTACAAAGAATTTTTTCAGTGATATGGAAGGGCCACCTTTCACTTACTAAGTAAGCTTGTCCCAGAGACTATTCAGATTAGTGAGGTTTCCCATTAACAGTTTTAGGGAGAGCTACAGTGGTGCTCTTAGCCACACCCTCAGTTTTCCCTTTGTTCCCCGCTGCAGCTGGCCTAGAGTGAGAGTCCCTGCCCACCTCGTTACTTTTGTTTGGATTTTTTTTTTTCTTTTGCCTTCATTTTATCTGTCTTCCTCTACTTGCACACTTCATTGACCTGAAGAATTGAGGTAAGATACTAATTTCTGTGTATATATGCCTACTTATTGTAAAATATACTTAGCATATATTTTTAAACTATCAAATTTAATTGGTTAGGTTAGAATAATATTAAAGCAGCTTACTAAGAAAGCACAGTATATTTGTAATTGAAAGTAATTTGAATTTCAAAATCCAATCCCTAAGAAATTTGTTTAATTTTTAGCCTAAATGTCAAACATATGAAACACAAATGACCTATTGTAAAAGTACTTGAATGTTCTGTACTGTTATCTACAACCATTTAATCAGTCCTTCATAAACCTTAATAACTGTTTGCTTCAGGAGCTACATTTCTTAACACAACCATTAGAATACTCCATGTTCAATCAGATATATGACTAAAGAGAATGAGCCATGTGCCCTGGTGGTTTGCCAATTCCTTGTCTATTTTAAATATCAATTATTTAAAGCATCAGTATTAAAAGGAGTTATTTGGGCATTTTTTCCACTGGGAATATTGAAGACTAGGAGCTGTGGCTGCTTTTCTGTGAGAACAGAAACCTAATGCCCTTTTGCCCTCCTTATGTAACTGAACTCTTAACGTTCATTTCCAGAGCAGGGGCTGTTTGTGCTTGGTACACTGTGAACTCCTGTGATAGTTAGCCTACAATAGCTGTATTTGTACATCCTCACACATAAAGAAGAAAGAAAATGGCCTGTGCTGAGTACTCTTTTCATGTGCCAAGTCTAGAGGAACTTGCTGGAGGTAAATACAATACTAACTTTGCTTAAAAATCATTTTAAGGAAAAAAATAAAAATATTCTAAGATATGCTTTATGCAATAGTACATTGAATACAGAATTTGTTTTCCTTTTTGTATCTGTTCTGTACTGTTTTTACTGAGTCCAAACTTCTGCCTCTCCAAAAAAAAATTAAATGCACAATTTGAAGATTCTTGATGACAATTTTACAGAATGAAAATACATATAGTAATCCAAGATTTAGGGATGTGTGCTGCCCAAAGCATGACACAATTTTGTTTTTATTAACTTTTTACCAGTTACAATACTCTTTAAATATATAACCTACTATGGTGTATTAATCAGGCTCCCAATACTCTACCATTGCCCACCCCATATGGCAGACTGCCAGTGAACTTACCTTGCTTACTGTGTGCATGTATTTTTATGTATTTCACCTTGTTCAAACAAGAATTTAAGGCAGCTTCACAGGATTAATTAGGAGGGGAGGTAATTAAAAAAAAAAAGAAAGAATATAAAATGAAGACAGGAGTAGCATTAATCCAGAACTGTATAGCCTGTCAGAATGCTAACATTTTTTGAAAGCCTTTAGGTTCTATTCTGACGGTAACTCTAAAACCTACCCTTATTTCTCAAAGTATATCTGTCCTGGTAGTTCTTCTGTCCCTTTGATAAGGTTGAAGTCAGGAAATGTACTCACATTTGACTTGGTTGTGGCTTTCCTCTTAGACCTTCCTATTTTTTTCCTAAATTGAGTGGCAGCCTGGAAACAATTTGTCTTGCTAGTACCTTTGCTTATATTTCTTTTCTGTTCGTCTTTCTGCCTTCTGTGATATGACAGCTAAGGCTAGATTTAGGATGACTTCTTGTTTTTCGAGAGTCTGATTCCACAAGACTTAAAGTGTAATGGCTGACACTATGATTAGAGAAATTTTTATAAGAACTTTTCATCCTTAAAAGTATATTGCTCTTAGATTTATAACTTTGAGACATTTATGTTTGCTTTTTTACTTTTTTATTGAATTAGAATATATCAGTAGTAAAGTACACTAATCTTAAGTGCACAGCTTGATGAATTTTAACTTGTTTACACCCATGTCACTACTATCAAGATCAAAATATAAAATATTTCGATCATTCTAGAAGGTTCCTTCGTGCGCTTTCCTAGTCACTGTTCTGACTTCTGTCACTTTAGATTATTTGCTTTTATTATTATTGCTTATTATTTGTTTTTGAAATACATGTAAGTGCAATCATATAGTATATAATACTTTTTTGTGTCTTGCTCTTGTTCAGCGTGTAAGCTTTTAGGAGTTGTTGCATGTAATTGCTTACTTTCTATGAGTTTAAATATTTACATTTCAATAGGTCTTTGGAATCTTCTCCCCAAAAGAAAGGTAGTTCTCATCTGAGTGCAGTGTTCCTCCTCAGTAGTATATAATCACTGATTTATACTGGTATTTATGTGTCTTAGTCCACATGAGAACTTGTGATTAATTATGTGTCTAATGTTGAATTATATGCATATTTATTAGTAAGGCCACTTTCCCCTCTTTTTTAATTACACTAGTTTAAGTTGGAAGTGTGACACAAAAAAGTTGAGGAAAGATTTGAGATGTGGTGACAAATTTTTATCTAATATTAGCTCATTGTTTTCCTGTTAGTTCTGCAAAAAGGGCTAAAGGATAACTTTGCAGATGTCCAGGTCTCTGTGGTTGATTGCCCTGATTTGACTAAGGAGCCATTTACCTTTCCTGTAAAAGGTAAGCAGTTTTCCTCATTACAGCTTTTTTTTTAGTCCTAATCTTTTTCTGAAACCAGAATTATTTTAAAATATCTACAAATAAAGGATACTGCCCCAACTTTTAACCTAAATTGTGCTTAATTTTTGTGCTATTATATTGATCAAATTTCATTTTGCACCCTTGTGGAAAAATATGTTTTATGTACTTTTGTAACTGTCACAGATTATATAATAAAAATTTAGGAGGCTAGAATCCTTGATATTAAATGAGAGGTTTTTGGTGGTTTTTTTTTTTGTTTTGTTTTTAATTGCTCAAGTGATTGTTATGGAAACTTAGTTTAATTTTTATGTTTTTATTTATTTATTCAAGATGTGAAGAGAACTTAAAAGCCTGTACTTGAATAATCTATTAAATACTTATGTCCCATCAAGAAATTTGCCAAGTGATCATCCAGCCAGAGTTTGAAGTGAGAATAATCACTTAATTGTTAATTACTATTAAAGGGAAATTAATATTGATTGAATAAATATAATTTGTCAGAGAGTATGACAGATACCTATATTTGATGTCTTAATTTTTATAACTCTGCAAGGTAAGTACTAGTCCCAGTTTATAGATGTGAAAACTGAAGCTCAGAGAGGCTGAGTAAGCTCATTGTGGATCATAAGCAGGATTCAAATCTAGGTCTACTTCTAAAATCCAACCTTCTCCCACTACACCCTACTGCGATGAAAAATTTGAAGATAAACACTAATACTCATTCAGTCTTTTAGTGTGCAATTGACATCTTTGTTAAAAAGTAGTTTTACATGAAAAGTCCTGAACTCTAGTTCTTTCTCTGCTACATTCAGATTTCATTACCCTGGGTAAGCTAATTAATGTATCTGGGCTTCATTGCATGGGTGAGGAGGATGCAGAAGGAGGGTAAAATGTTCTTTAGGGAGTCTTTCCATTTTAAATAGTCTTTGATTTTAAGTAAACCTATAAATTCTAGAAGTTTTGTGTGCCTGATGGCAGTTTATCTTCACACCTTGAAAGCATTTAGTGTAATACTTTTTTATAGCCATGTTTCTTCCAATTATAAGATTAATACATTCTCCCCACCCACACACACTAAAAAAATTAAATAAATAAAATAAAAATCAGAAAACACAGAGGGCACAAGGAGAAAGAAGAAAAGGTTGAAAAAGAGTTTTCTGGTCAATAACTATTGAGTCTTTAAATTAGAATACTAAGGAAGCCAGATATGTATGTATGTATGTATGTATGTATGTATGTATGTATGACCTTTTATAAACATAGGCACTTTCTACATGATCTGGTTTTGTTCAAGTCTCCAATGACTGTGGGATGTTTACTAATGATATTTGATTTCTATATATTTCATACTGTTTGCCTTTTGTTACCTGACATCCTCTCCCCTCTTGGTTCTCCTCTCTCCTTTGTTCTTTTGACTTTTCTTCCTGGGTGTGTTTCCTACCTCCATGATGTTCTTTCCTCTTCATTTTTTCCTGATTCCTTACTCTTTCCAGCAGGCTCTTCAATTTGGATGTTTTCCAGAATTCTTTCCTCAGCTTCTTAATCTGTACAACCTCTCTGGCTTTTTATTTCTATTTATATGGTTTTAATTACTATTCAGATACAGCTTTGAAATCTGTACATCTCACCTAGATCTCTTTTTTTCTTAGTTGTAGGTAGATCAGTAATTCCAGCTGTCTACAGGACATCTCCACCTCTATGTCCTCAGTACAACTTGAGGTCAGCATGTCTAAAATTTGATTCATTACCTCACCATAGTTGCCTATTCTTTCTTTGTTCTTTTCTTAATTTCCTCTTCTCCAACTCTACAAGTTACCATTTTTAACTCTTTACCTATCTTTTCCCTGGGCTACTAAACTAGTCCTCTAATGGTTTGCCTAAACATCAGTGTTACTCGCACTTAAGACAAAGAGTCGTATCCATGAGTAATTTCTGATGATCCCATAGAAAATACTTACAAAATCCCTAAAACAATTGTGTACATCTACCCTCTGTATAGCTGAAGAAACAGAGCAATTATATCTGTTTTACTGTGTAATGATGTTAGAATGAAACTGACAAGACTACTTTTTTCTCAGGAAAAAGGTAATTTTTTTCCATTCTACATTAAAAAAAAAAGCATTCTCCCAAATTGTGTCTAGCTGTACCTGTGATGTTAAATAAAAATGTAAGTAGAAAGTTCCTAGCATCTGAAGTTTAATTCTAATTACTTGTTATTTTTATAAACAACCTTAGAAAAAGACAACTTTGAAAAGAGGATTTCCAATAAAGAACTAATATTTTGTCAAAGCAAAATATTTTAAGTGAAAATACAATTTTAGCTAAACCCCTCCCCACTCACAAAAAAAAAAACAAAACCACCAGATTTTTAAAGGAATAAGTAATTATACACCAGAAATTAAATTCTACAAACCTCATCCACTCCAAGCTTTGGCCACATTTCTAGCCCTTGCCCTATAATCAACTTTTATTACCTTTATGCTACCAACTATATCAAGTCAGGCTTGGTTATGACCATACGAGAGCCACCGGTAGTTAGACTAGGATATGGGTCCTGGCTGTATGCATCTTCCAGCCCCTATATTTATTTGTAAAACTGTGACAGTGGAAAAGTTATCTCTCTTAATAAATTAACCTAGTGTCTTCTGACACTTTATAGTACTTACATTAAATGTTTGCCTATGTTTAAGATTTTAATTTTTTTTTAGGCATCTGTGGGAAAACTAGAATTGCAGAAATAGGAGGTGTGCCTTACTTATTGCCTGTTGTAAATAAAAAAAAAGTAAGTGTACTTTTATTCTACATATTTACATGAAGATTGTAGAATTTGCATCAGTTTCTCTTATTAGGTCATTGACCACTGTGGCAAGAAAGTACTGATGGACTCAGTAATAAAAGTAAACCAGGAAATTTGTATAAGTAATGATTTAAATATCATTGTTTTCCTCTTACAGGTTTATGATCTAAATAAGATTGCAAAAGAAATCAAACTTCCTGGAGCTTTTATTCTTGGAGCGGGGGCAGGCCCATTTCAGACTATTGGGTTCAATTCTGAGGTCAGCATATATATAATTATTTTTATTTTATTGAATAAACATTTGGTTTGCCTTTTTTTCCTTTTACTTTCCTATCAGAAATGTTACTGTCTGAATGAATTTTAAGTGGTTGATGTCATGTATTTCTACAAATTCACTACTATTGGATACAGACTTGGAGTACAGCACAGTGCTCCAGTTGGTGCAGCCCTAATGGAGCACTAACCTCTAATTTCAGATTTTTTTAGGTTATGCACTCGGTTGTAAATGAGTCCAAGGTCCTACTGTGGTCTGCTGTGGATCTGGATTGTGACACATTTTAATCCTTATACATCAGAGGATTCCTAGCTTCTCCATTTATCTTTGCTTTTGGTATAAGAGCAGCATTCAGTCAGAAGATGAATGGGATATTTAATGATCTAGCCAACCCCCCCCACCCCTTTCAGACCAAATAGTGGGAACCTACCTCATAGTATGATTATTTATAAAAGGTACTATCTGTTACTGTGAAAGTCACTATATTTCCAACATGAAAATACTGCTGTTTCTCCACATTTCATAATTAGAAGAGTGAATGATCTCTTCATTCTGCCCATTCTCTCACAACCTTTATAGATGTGACCATTAGTCAGTGATCATACAGGTTCTTTCTTCTTTTTCTAATGATCCTGCAAGTTTTTCCAAATCCTCACCTGAGGATACATTTATTGATTTTAGAGAGAGATACATTGATGGGAGAGAATAACATTGATCAGTTGCAGGGATCAAACCTGCAACCTAGGTACATGCCCTGACTAGGGATTGGACCCTCAGCCTTTTGTTGTACAGGACGACACTCCAACCAAATGAGCAGCCTGGCCAGGGCTAATCTTAGAAGTTTTTTTGGAAAATTACATAATTTTCCTAGTGTTCAAGAAAGAAAAAAATTTAATTAGACATTTTAAATAAAGCAAATGTTATAATTTAATAGGAACACTATAAGTAAACATTTTATAAAATGTTTTTTCAGGTTTTTAAAATTTTTTTGATTTTAGAGAGAAAAGAGGAGAGAAAGGAAAAAAACATCGATATGTTGTTCCATTTATTTATGCATTCATTGGTTGATTCTTGTATGTGCCCTGACTGGGGATCAAATCTGCAACCTTGGTGTATTGGGTTGATGCTCTAACCAACTGAGATACCTGGCCAGGGCTCATCAGTTTTTTGATATTTGTAAATCTTTAACATTTTGTTTTAAATCTAAAATTAAATAGTTTATATTTCATGCTTTCTTATTAGATCTTGAAATAAAATGCCTTAACATAATAGGATAAAATTCAGTCACATTATTCAAGATAACCTGTTTGGAGAAACATACTAGGATTGACTAATTTTACCTTATTTCTTTTTCTTTTCAGTTTATGCCAATTGTTCAAACAGAAAGTGAACACAAACCTCCTGTGAATGGTAGTTACTTTGCCTACATTAACCCTAAAGATGGAGGATGTCTACTAGAGAAATACAGTGAGAAATATCGTGATTTTGGGTGTGCATTACTGGCTAATCTTTTTGCCAGTGAGGGCCAACCTGGAAAGGTGATTTTTGTCCATAAAAACACAATATTCTTCAAAAGTTCTCAGCTAAAAATTTAAACTTCTATTATCACACATACGGTTTTCTAAAGAAAATCCAAAGTGCCTAAATCAAAGCTATTTAAATAACCCAGTTATGAAAGATTCAGAGAGTACTACAGGTAGAGTGAAACTCATTTAAAACTGAGGTTAAGAATAATATTTAGTAAGCAATGCTCTTTTTTTCCCAAGGAAATAAAAGGTAACAAGATATTCATATGGGAGTTAGTCAAATAGATAAACCACGTAGCTGATAATAGATAACATCTACCTATAATTAGTATATATGCAGCTTGTTCATTCCTGACTGATCAGACATTGAACTAGATAGAAATGTTGGTAGCAAAATAACTGTAGCAAGAAGGAGGTAAGGAAAATTAATGCCTTACTTCAGATTTACTTCCTGTTAGTACACAAAAAGACAACTTTGGTTTTAGCAGTAGTGAGAACTCTTAGATTTTATAAATACGGATAGCTGCTTTAGCTAGTTTGAGAAGTGGGGTCGTGACGTAAAAATACCTAATAAAGTGAAGGTAACCTAAGTCCAGAATTTTAAAGGAAGTGAGAAAATGTAATCATTTTCCTGTCCCCTGCAGTTAAATAATCCAGTTATGGAAGATTCAGAAAGTACTATAGGCAGAGTGGAAGTCTCATTTAAAACTGAGGTTAAGTAAAATACATAGTAAGCAAAACCTTTTCAACCAGGGAATTCTCAACCTTTGACCATCTTGACATGTAATGATAATATCTAGAGTTTACTGTAGGATACAGCTATATTTCTTTCTCAGTCCAAGAAAGCATGAATAAGACATCATTAAATGATCTGTAGTGCATATATATATATATAGAGAGAGAGAGAGAGAGAGAGAGAGAGAGAGAGAGATTATTAAGACTTTGGGAGGATTGAGATACCTCAGCTCATATTTCAGTGCTCTAAGCAAACAAATGAATATTTGCTTGATGGCATTAGTTTGTATAATGTCTCACTTTGGTAGTTAGTTACATAAAATTTTACACTTTAGAACAATGGTATGCATATCTGTGTCCTCTCTAGGTCATTGAGGTGAAAGCCAAAAGAAGAACTGGAAAACTTAACTTTGTGACTTGTATGAGGCAGACTCTTGAAAAACATTATGGAGATAAGCCTGTAGGGATGGGAGGTACTTTCGTCATTCAGAAGGGAAAAGCCAAGACTCACGTTATGGTAAGGGCCTGTTGGGGACGTGAATACATTCACTTGTTGGTATGTGTGTGTGTGCACATGCTTAAGATCTTAAGGACTTTAAATGCACACTGAGAATTCTACCTTCAAAGACACCCTGAGTAAATCCTTTTACTAGACTGTATTACTTTAAAATTTATATGACAAACAGTACTGTAAGTCATTTTGTGTGATGACATCTAGCTAGTGTTCTTTTTTCATGTTAATATATTAGAACTTTCTTTTCAATGTCTTTGTTTTTAAGGTCAAGATTGAGTATAAGCCTAAGAAACTGAGTATTATTCTCGTTGCTAGAATCCCATACTCAATACATAGAGTTTGCTGTTAGGTTGGTTGTGGTTTTGGTGAAAGAACTTATCATGAAAATTACAATCTATGGACTAAATATAATAAGTGTGTAAGACATTAAGCATGGAATATCATATGAAGACAGATCCAGGGCATTCAGGACTTTTAATATAATTTTTGGTAGGTGAATGAATCAATGAATGAATGAAGTGTAAAAGTGATTAGAACTTAATTTTTTTATTTTATCAGTAAAGCCATTAGAAAATTTATTGTTTTAATAGTTTTTTATCCTGTTAATTTTAAATGGCATGCCAGCTAATCCTACAAAGGAAGACATAGTTGTGAAACTAATTACTTTTCCAAATTATTTTCCAAATTACCTAATTCCAAATGGAATTAGAGATAAGTCTATTATTAATACCAAATGATCATAGGATTGTACAACCATTATAAAAAACAGAAGTTTCCTAAAAAAAATTCAAATAAATAGAACTACCATATGATCCAGCAATTCTATGCCTGGAGATTACACACATGCACACACACACACACACACACACGGATATATATCCATATGTATATATACCATGTAGCTGATAATAGATACGTATATGTATTTGTATATATGGATATGTGCATATGGATATGTATATATATGTGTGTGTGTGTGTATGTGTATCTCTCCAAAGGAAATGAGATCAGTATCTCAAAGAGATAACTGCTCTGATAGGTTCACTCCAGTATTATTCACAATAGCCAAGTTATGAAAACAAGTTTAAAAAAATGAAATCCTGCCACTTGCAATAACATGGATAAATCTGTAGGACGTTATACTAAGTGAAATAAGCCATAAAAAGACAAATATCACATGATAGTAACTGTATGTAAAACTAAAAAATGTCCAAATTAGAGAAACAGGGAGCAGAGTGGTGGTTGTCAGGGGTTTGGGAGTGATGGAAGGGGGAAATGGAGAGATGTTGGTCAAAGAGTACAAACTTTCAGTTACAAGATGAGTAAGTTCTAGAAAACTAATGTACATCATAGTAAATGTAGTTAATAATAAACTATCATATACTGTAGGATGACATGTAAGATTAGAATGAAGATATACTCACAGGAAAACTGAAAGACTATGAAAAAATATAGTAATAGACTCATTCCTTCATTTACTCTCATACATAGATTGGTGATCCTTTAGAAAACAAAGGTGTATAATTTCTTTTGATGTCAAAAATAGTCGAATGTATAAGAAGGCTTAGTTTTTAACTTAATATAAAATTTTAATTCTCAATAATATTCAGTGTGTTTACCTGTTTAATAATCTTTTATTATAGCCTCTAGAATTTTCTTCTTGCCCATTGAACTCTGATGAAGAGGTGAACAAATGGTTGCATTTTTTTGAGATGAAGGCTCCTTTGATTTGTCTGCCAGTTTTTGTCTCCAAAGACCCAGTAAGTCTATGTCTATCTCTTATGTTGCAGTATACCACAATGATAATGCTCAATTTTTAGGATTTTTTTTTTTTTTTTTTTTAGAATTAGACACTTTTTGTGTTGTTATTAGGATAGTCTAATAGGATAGTCTCTAGAATTATCTTGAAACAACCATGAGTTGTGCAGAGCAGATTTTACCTTTGAGAAAATAAAGGCACAGGCATTTTAAATAATACCCAAAGTCATGTTATTAAAATAGTAGAATCACAACAAGATTCATTTTATTTGCTATTCATTATATTCTTATACTATACACTAGGAAAAATAAATAGACCAATTCAAAGCAAGTATCTACCAAAATACTAACAATATCTTTTGATCCAATGGTTACATGTCTAGAAATTTGTCCTTAAATATTTGCAAAAATATGTAAAATGATTAGTTAAAAGGTTATTCATGACTGAATTGCTGTAATAGCTGAACAATTGGAAATAATGTAAACATCATTTGAAAAGTGATATGTACATACAATGGAATACCATACAGGTGAAAAAGAATAATTTTATGATCTGATATACAGAGATCTCAAAGCTATATTGTTAAATAAACAAAAATAATATGCAGCACAGTGTGTACAGAGTGCTGCCATTTGAGTAAAAAAATTAAAATATATCCTTCTGGAAGGATATGAAAGAAACTGCTTACATCAGGTGCCTGCAATGAAAGGGAGTGAGTGGTGAGGGCAAGAAATGGAAAGATATATTTTACTGAATATAATGCAATCATGTGAATGCATTACCTACTTAAAGAATAAAATAAAAACTACCGTACATAAATTTATAAGGTCTCACTCCCCTCTAAATAAACTCTGTCCAAAATAACTTGAATATTAACAGTTAGCTTGTCTGTCATCCTAGGGGTTCGATTTGCGGTTGGAGCACACCCACTGTTTCAGCCACCATGGAGAAGGGGGACACTACCACTATGACACAACTCCAGACACAGTGGAGTATCTTGGCTATTTCTTACCTGCAGAGGTTCTCTATCGCATCGATCAACCAAAAGAGACCCATTCGTTTGGGCGAGATTAAACCAACTGCTACTCATTTAGAAAAAGAAATGATAAAATTAATGAATTGATTAACTCATTAACTGATACAAATATAAAATCTAATAAAAGTGATCTCACTACTTAAACCCTTTAATTTTGGCCTTTGAAATGAAAGGTAGGTTGACATTATGTTATCTCATAGCTCTATCTGAAGAAGTTTATTGCAAACAAAGATACATAAAGGGAGATGTTTTTCATTATTCTTTTATCCTAGAAAATCAGTTACATTTATACTGTAACTATAAACATGCCCAGGAGTCATGTGATTGGTTATTTTTACATAATTTACATTTGCTTAAATTATTAAAATTTTCAAATTAGTCTCAAAACTGCTAATTGGATATTAGAAAAATCAAGTGTTGGGAACTTTGATAGTTGTTGAATCTTTGTATTGAATTTTAAAGAATCCATTTTAGAAGTCAGAGTACACTTTTTTCATGGAATAAGGCGGTCAGAGGGAGGAACTTTACCCCTTTTGGTAAAGTTCAGTCCCACTCAGAGTTTGCAAATTGCCTTTCACAAGCATTAGCGACTAGATGGTTAGCCATGATTCCTCCTTTGGATTGCCACCTGGAAGCAGTTTGTGCCTTGTTGGTTACTTGTAAGAAGGGAAAAGAAACAGCATCAAAATACACATTAAACTGAGTATATTTTTATTTTTTAAGCGGAGCTATTGCTAAACATGACCACTGTCCTTTGAGAAATACAAAATTATACTCTTACTGATTATAATGGTTGAAATTTTCCTCAGTGTTCTTTTACAATCATTGGCCAGAAATTAACTCTTTAACTTATTAATGCCAACAGTGTGCAGATTTAGGAGCTCTTCAGAACTAACCCCGTAATAAATCTTCAAAAAATATTTTTGTCTTCTTTGGATGTTAGCTATAATAACATATCCTTTGAGTATAAATTACTAAATATTATTTTAAAATAAGCACTAGTTTGTAACAAAAAAATGAAAATAAAAATAAAAATTCATAATATGGTGTTTGTGTTTCTTTTTAGTATTCTATCACCAGACAAAAACAGTATTCATTCATTCAATCAACAGATATTCAATACCTACCCTGCCCTCCAGCATGTAAGGGCAATGAGGGCCAGGGCTTTGATCACTGCCATAGCACTAGTGCCTTTAACAGTGACTGCCCCAAGGAGACATTCAATAAATATTGGTTGAATGAATGAATGGGTGGATGGTTATGCCAGATACTTAGCTAGAGGATGGGATTTATCATTCAATCATTTATATACTAGAGAAGACACATAATAAGCAACTATATAACATGTCAGGAGGTAGTAAGTGCTATGAAGAAGAATACAGCACTGGATGACTATAAAGGTGGATGCCGTTTTGTTGCGGCCATCCTGCACTGAAACTGAATGAATGCCCACTCCCCACCCCCCAAAATTTGGTTCAGATACTGAGACTGATGAAAAACTTTGTTCAGATACTGAAACTAATGATGTCTCACTCTGTCTCTCACTGTATGAAAGGGCTTATTGTTTGCATAAAGAGGCTTTCTGGGGAAAGCAGGGCAGCTCCCAAGCAAAGTGAGAGAACAGGGAAAGGAGACTGGCTTGGGGAATTTTATAGTGGTTAGAGGGGAGGGCCAGAGAGAGAGTTGTGCATGCAGTTTGAATTTCCCACAGATGTCCATGGAAAGAATACCCACGCTTTCTCATCAGCATGCCCAAATGTGGAGAAGAAGGAGTAAGGCTTAATAGCTGTCAGCAGCCAAAATCAAAAATGGAATCAGACTCTGTTACACATTTTACATAGGGAGATCAGGGAAAACCTCTGATAGAGTTGAGCAAAGACCTGAAAGAGAGGAGAGAGTGAGACATGAAGTTATTTAGAAAAATATCCTTCTGGCAGATTCAAAGCCCCGGAGGCAGAAGAGAACTTGCTATGTTCAAGAAACAGCAAAAACAGGCCTAGCTGGTGTGGTTCAGTGGGTTGAGCACCAGCCTGCAAACCAGAGTCTCTGGTTCAATTCCCAGTTTATATGGTACAGGCCTGAGTTGCAGGCCAGGTCTCCAGCAGGGGGCGTGTGAGATGCAACCACACATTGATGTTTCTCTCCCTCTCTCCCCAAAACAGCAAGGAATTCTACTATGAACCCAGTAAGATTCTCTGGGGAAAAACAAAATATACACATACACAAAGGGTGGGGCAAAAGTAGGTTCACAGTTGTTTATATGGAAAATAATACAAGAACTATAAACCTACTTTTGCCCCACCCTGTACAGTAACAAAATTGTAAGTTAATGACATATTCACTTTAAAGTTAGGAATGTGACAAGAATGCCCAGTATCATTAACCATTGGAGTTTCAACCAGGAAAAAGGACAGGAAAGAATGGGTGTAATTAATGAGAAGGAAGGAAAAAATAAGCTTTTTAGCAGAAAACATGATTGACCTCTTAGAAAATCAAAGAGGATCGATAGTGAAATTATTAGACTGAGTTCAGAAAGGTTCCTAAATGTAAAATAAATATATAATGGGTTGCATTTCTACATACTAACAAGAAACAAAAATGTGAAAAATATCCATTAAAATGTTATCAACAGTACATAGCAATATTTTTTTAACAAAAATTATATATAACCTTTATGGATAAAATTATAAAACTGTTGAAAACTTAAAGAGCCAAAAAAATAGTTGTAACTAGGAAGATGCAATGTCATAAAAGTATCAGCTCTTCTCAGGACTATAAATTCAGCTCTGCAAGTCTAATCCCAGTAGGGCTTTTCACAGAACCTCACAGGTTGATTCTAACATACATGAGATAGCCATAAAGGGCTCAGATAAGCAAAGATAATTTTCAAGACAACTAGGCCAGGGGTATTTGGTATGTAGATATCATAGGTATAAACTTACTAGAAGTAAGACAATGTGATTTTGGCACAATGATGGACAATCAATAGAACAGGAACCAAGGCCAGAAACAGATCCTCACATAGGTAGATACTTGATTTTTTTGACAGGTGGCATGGCAGATCAATGGAGAAAGGAAACGTATTAAAATAGTGCTGCCACAACAAGTTATTAATATGGAAAAATAAAAATGGATTGGACTCAATACTAGGTGAATTAAAGACAACTGTGAATGTTAAAAATTTTTTTAAAAATATTTTTGAAATTTATTTTTAGAGGGGAAGGAAATGAGGAAGAGAGGGAGAGAAACACATGCCCCCCCCCCTCGCCCCATCCCAGGGACCTGGCCTGTACCCCAGGCATGTGCCCTGACTGGGAATCGAAACGGCAACCCTTTGGTTTGCAAGCTTGAACTCAATCCACTGAACCATACCAGCCAGGGCAAATTTTTAAAGTTTTAGAAGAAAGTATAAGAGAGAATCTTTATGACTGATGAGAATAGAAGGATTTCCTGAAGAAAATAAGGCACAAACTATTAGAGAAAAGATAGATTAATCTGATCTGACAACATTAAAATGTAAAACTTTGTCAAACTGTGGCTCAAAAAGAAAGGAAGCAGACCAGTCTGGGAAAATATATTTTCAAAACATACCTGATGAAATTCAGCTTGTATTCAGAATGCATTAAGAAAACCTCCAAATCAATAAAGAAATGACAAACACCCAATAGAAAAAAATAGGCAGAAGTTATGAACTGGCATTTTGGAGAAAAGGAAAATCCAATGGCCAGTGTAAGATTTCTATATCTTATTAGTGGATTAAATAATTTTGACAAATCACACTAACGACAATTTTAAAAGCTGGAAAAATATAAAAGTACTTCCTTGAAGGTACTTAAGATTTCACAAGATAGTGAAGGACTACTAGGCCAACCAGTATCTGGGAGAGAACAGAAGCTCAGCTTAGGTCAGCCCAACCCTCAGGACGCACTGATGCTTCATGCTTTTTACACGTGATTGCTGTTTTAAACCTGTGAGTTTTGAGAGCTCTATTTCACAGTAGGTGACTGATTTAAAAAGAAATGCATGGAAATTATGTGATGGTTTTTTCTAGGAGAAGGGGGGGAGATGTGAACTAGGAAGAGTACAAAGCTTTAACTGTATGAGCAATGCTTTATTTCCTTAGGTGGATGTGGACACACAAATGTTTGTTGTTATCTCCTTTTTAACTCAAATGCACAGTGAAGGACATAGTACCATTAATCTCCTTTTTAAAGTATGTTATTTTGTACGTAATTTTTCACATATTTTCTTGATATCTTTAGAGTTTATGGTAAAGAATTACGATGATTTAGTAATTAATTGAATGCCCAATTATTTTTAAATTATACTAAATATTTTTCTTTTGTTCTTTTGACTTGGTTAGAATTCTGATATATTGACATTTGATTCCTAGAAATAATACCATTTTTTTCCTAAGGACATTGTATGTTCAGTAACCTCCATTTATGATAATATTGGGTAAGGATATCCTGTTTGCCTTTGGGAAGGATGGGAAAATATTAATGACAAAATGCTATGTTATGTTTTTCTATGAAATGTATCAGAGTATCTATGTATTAAGTTAAGATTGCATCATGCTATACCAATTTCTTTGTCTTAAATACTAGAGAATTCCTGTAAGGCACATTATTAATGAAATAACAAGCTTATTTTTCAAGTGCCCACAGTGGTGCAGTGATAAAAAAATCAAAGTGTGGGTAAAAGGTTAGAGGATTTCATTCAGAAAACAATTGTATTAACAGGCAGAGGGTGCTGCAGTTAGTGAGAGAGAAAAGTAAAGGTAGAACTAACTGCAGAGTGGGCTAAGACTGCTTCGAACAGGAAGCCAGCAAACTGGGCTGAGTTACCAAGGATCACAGCCTTCAGGGGAAGTAAGCTGCCTCTTGCAGGCTTGCCTAGACGTTACTTTAAGGACCTAAGGTGAAAACTTATGCTACATTAAAACACTTCTACAGTGAATTAGCTTGGTTCCCATTCTAAGGCTGCTTGCTTCCCGTCTGATTGCAGATGGGCTGGATTCTCTGAAAAAGCCCAGGGCCTCTTTCCCTGACTAGAGAGGGTGAATACTGACTTCACCCTCCCATCAGTTTTCTTTCAAGTGGGGTGCATGAGCCACAGCAAGGGCACCAGACAGTCCAAGGGGTGCAGGAATATTAGAATATCTGTCTACATATTTTATTTATTTTATTTCATCCTTTTTTATTTTCATGTTTGCTTACATTTCTTAAAGCACATTGTATTAGGGATGTCAGCCAAAATATTTTTTGTTGACAAAGTTCAAAATGCTTAAAGACCAGATACATTTACATCATCTTTCCAAACCTAAAATGAGAACACAAGCTGACAGATAACTATCAAATATTAAAAACTGAGTTTTCCATAGAGAATCTAGGATAGCCATTGGGCGAATCTATTATGGATGGTTTACTGTTCCCGGAACTCCGTCCTACCTTTGGCCCTATTTCTCTGATACGTCCTATGTTTCTAAAACGTTCTGTTGTTCTGAAGTGTGTTATCTACAGTGAAGAAATCCTACTTCTGTAAGTTTAGAATGGTGCTTAGGATTAGTTGCATTAGCAAACCTAGTATCTGCCACTACAGTAGATACCTAAAAGCACATTCCCCTTTGCTTTTGGTTTTCAAACCCCAGCTTCCTTTTAGATTATCTGTGAAGCCTCTGTGTGGCCTGTTCTATCATTTAACAGCAATTTACTGAGCACCATCACTGTGCCAGGCACTGTGAATATATAAAGATGAATAAGACATGGTCTCTGCCCCAGCAGAGCTCAGTCTAGTGGGGACACTGGCCAACATATGAACAAATAATTAAAATAGGGTAAGTCCTATTGTGTTATCCTATAAGGTACTATACAGTAAAGGAACCTGCATGTCACAAACCCAAAAATAAATTTAAAACAACTAATGAGCTCCTGGTCAAGATGCAATAAGCTGACAACAGCCTATTTCTACCACAATTACAAAATACAACACTTTCAACAAAATGCAA